TACCGGTCTAAACACACATACTAGGTATATACCCATTAAAAATTGCATATTGTAGTTTGGTATATACCTATCTAAATGCGCGTGAAAAAGTTTAATTTTCAAGTAGGTTTTTTTTTCTTGAACTGAATTTGAAGCTAGCTAGGCCTTTTAGTTGAGTTTTTTTATACTCTAACTAGGTAGCTTGGCCAGATGCAATTAAATACATGTAGATGTAAGTATATAAGTCTAGTTGGCTATATACCTATAAACCATTTATAGATTTAGGTATATAAGCCTCGTGTGCTATGTATATTCTACCGATGTAGATTAAGTAGGTGGTGATATTTATGGAATAGTAGGATGGTAGGTATATACATAGTACCAAAATATTCTGTATTAATTTGCATGATTACAACATGCAAATTTCATGTTAATACACTGTCAAGAACATCAGTTTAAAAAAACTTGTGTTAATACACTAGCTCTTAGCGCGTGCATCCAACTGGTGTTTCTTCTACCCACGACCATCTTCTCCGCATGATCCCAGGGCAACATACGTACGTATAGTCTTTGGCTCAATAGGAAGATGAACCAAAAACTTATTAGTAGGATGCATTCCCATCTTAAGGTCTTGACAACGAAATAAAATTGTTACAGTACTCAATCTACGAAAACGGTAGAACAGGGACTTTTCAAAATATAAGAATAAATTGAAATAAATTACACACGAACCACACGCGCGGCGACCGTCGATGACAGTAGCGACGAACCTCCTCACGGGCGACCTGCGGCGGCGACAACGAACCTTGCGAACGACCGGCGGTGCGTAACGGCGCGGTGACGAAGCTAACAGATGACTGACAACGGCAACGAAACCTTGCAGACAACCGACAGAGACGAAAAGCTCGCCGACGTCCGGCCGGCAGGGTAATAGCGTGGACTGGACAGTGGAGTGTGTAAAAAATGAAATGTCATACCATTTTATATGTACACAAAAAGTGGAAAATATTAATCGGTATTGATGGAAATAAATCAATTACAACTTAATTAGTGGAATTACTGAAAATTTGTGGATCTGATTCAGTGTCATCTCAAATATGGAAATAAATTATCACACAATCATAGGGAAACGATGTGAGCATGTGCAAAAAAAGGAAAGTATGTATCATATATGGAAATAAATTATCATGCAATCGGAAGGAAATTATTACGTACATGTTTGCTTATATGGAAACGATGTGAGTACGTTTATATGGAAAGGCAATCACTCCTGCAATATATGCATGTATGCAAATCATGCGGGTACACTAAAAATGGAAAGATCTAATCGGGTTTAACCCGTTAATATATCTAATACTCTGGTTTGAGCAGCACAAATCTCAAAGCACATATACGATTCATCACCACTACTTTTCCTTTTGCAGATAGTACTAATTGGTTTTAGCCTCTATTATAAAGTGTAAAGAGTTTGCCAGTACAATCATCATGACATTGCGGGTTAGCATTGTTCTACTCCCTCCGTCCCAAAATATAAGTATTTTTAGAATAGTGCTAAGTCAAACTTTTTAAATTTTGAATATTAATAGCAAACAAATGAAAAAGATGATGTAAATGTTGATGTTTGATGTAACTCTCTTTTTAAAACATTTTATTTTTATAGATATTGTTGGTCAAAGTGATATCTCGAAGACCGTGTCGAAGTAAAAAATGATTATATTTTAGGATGGAGTGAGTAGTTGATACTCTTGCTAGGTCACATTTGGTATTCCTTCCGTTTCAGATTATAAGTCATTTTTTACTTTGATCAAAGTCAAACTGCTTTAAGTTTGATTAAATTTGTAAAAAAATAACATTTTCAACCCAAGACAAATATATTATGAAAATATATTCAATTATAAATTTAACCAAGTTTGTCTACAAACTTGGTTAAATTTGGAGTAGTTTGATTTTGATCAGAGTCAAAATGACTTATAATCTGAAACAGAGGGAGTAGCATTCATGCCGAATTTCCACTTGAAATTTTCCAGACCTTCAGCACGTTTCCAAATTAGAACAGTTGACGTGTGATGGCGAGCATGTTATTGTTGTTGCATGTGCTTCTGCTAAAGACTATTAAATAATCCTCCATCCTAAAATATATTAATTTTTTGTTAGACAGGATATATATCCTGATACCATGAATCTGGATATATCCTATCCAGATTTATAATATTAGAATATATTACATCCAACCAAAATTTATTTTATTTTAGGACGGAGGTAGTAATTATCTTTGCATTAGTTTCTCGATAGACATAAGGCGGCAAATAAAAATACAATATGAAGGAGTATTAGGGATGATAGGGATTTCCTTCCCTTTGAGCTGAAGGATGTGATACCAAGATCAATGGTCTGAATTTGATAAAAAAAACATGCTTAATTTGAAAATAGAAATATTATTAGATGAGAGAAGTGCCTGACACGTACACTGCTAACAACATGCTTACTATGAAAAAGAAAATATTAGATGAGAGAAATGTCTGGCGCTTACAGTGCCACATACACATTTTGTATAAGCTGGCAAAGTAACTTCAAAGTTCATATTTTTGTGTTAATCATGGGTTCTACTGTTTTTCCAATAGTGTCAGAAAATGATGTTCAACTAAGTTCTAACATGTAGTACTATTGAACTTCTGGTGCTTGTTGAGCTGGGAACATCTGAAGATGAAAAAAAAAGGGGCAGATATTTTTGGAGGAATTAAAGAAAGAAAATGGTTACTTGGGCCGTCACTTGAAAGATCAATCTGTGGATGGATCTCCTGGAGAACTCCAAATTCCTGAACTAGCTGCAGCCCACACATATGAGCTTACTAATTTCCCCCAACAAATTAAGCAGGTATCTGAGTTGACAAGCATCCTTACAATTTCAAGCTTTCAACAAAGCATTTCGAGTGTGCTATGTGCAGTGGTCATCTTTTATTTTTAGATAAATGTTCTTGCTAGTTATATGTATTATCTGCAAAACGTGCAAGAACTTTTCACTTTGTAAGAAGAACCCAATTGCACAAGGTACATTAATTACGATAGTTTTGCTCACTTTGCTGACAACTTGAAATAGTTTGTGGCATACAGTTTCAGTAGGCAACTCAATTTTTCCAAAAGGCAAAAAGGCGTCAGTACGAAGAGGTTTACATGACGGGCACGCCGTAATGATCTGAGGGTTGTTGGATATTTGCGTGTAATCTCAGTTATCCTGATGCATGTGGCCAGTGCCAAACACCTGAAGAAATCAATCCAACAGAGGAAAGTGTGATCTAATTGGACAACTGCAGAGATGGCATTTCTTCTGGGCATCTTGACAACAACGTAATCATCGAAGTTGAAAGATGATAAAGCCATGTATAGCCATCATCATCAGTAGTAGTACGTAAGTTTGACAACTTCGTCTTAGCAAACGGCATCTAATGATAAAGGCGCGATTACACCTCCACCTAACGAAGTATTACTAGTAAGGATGATCCAAAAATAAGCTGAAGGAAGATTTTATGGTGCAATCCCGGCCTGTACGTCTACTGATTTCAATTTTCAGGTCCAACATCTATGCCAAAAATGATTTTATAAGAACAAAAGGAGTATCTATTGAAACTTCAAACGCTAAACCATGCATTGTAAATTAAAAAAAAATATATAATTCAGAACCTGCAAACAACATGACATTTAGCCAAAATCATCAGTCATGCATCTGTTACCCAACGTCATTTTGAGTGTGCCACCTTGAGTTTGCTTATTTCACTTATCAACAGAAGCTAAATATTTCTCTGCGGCTCAATATGAACACTGCAGTTGTTGTTGGCATACTGCTTGCATGACTGCTTTCCTATATCTATAGCAGCTAAACAGCAGGCATATCATGCGAGATTCTTGATGCCTTCCTTACAGTCAGTCGATTTAGTTATTAGTACCTCTCATGATTTATACACCCTCGAGGCCTTGAGGCATCCAGCATGATTGATTCATACTTAGCACGTGTTCACCAAAAGTTTTTTTTTTTCTATTCCTCCTCTCGCCACACTATATATGTTCTTAGCCCCTAATTGTGCATCATATTGTCTAATGCACCAACTCCTTACAATATATTTTAGACAGTGAGATGAGATGAGATTTTGGAGTAAACTGAAATGGGCTGAAATACCGATGAGATAATATTTCGGATCAAACTGAAACATGGAGGAATGCAACGAAATGAGATTTGATCTATGTACATTCATAACATGGAGGAATGATAATGAAATGAGATTTGTTCTAGCTCCATTCATTTCTAATATCATTTTAGTGTCTTGTCAACTCTTTAAATCATATTCTTCTTTAGTGTTGTGAGCGCATATCACAACACATGTGTTCAGTTTCCAGTTCCAGTTCACTTCAAATTGAGTGTCCTATACACATATTCTTTTTTTTATCATTATCAAAACAAATGCATATCAAAGTTTAAAGAGTTTATACATGGCTTCCCCCAACATGTCCATGTTTTTCTTTATAAATTGTTCGATGATCTTCTTACTTTTTCTTTTCCTTAATTTGATAGGACACCAATTCATCAGTTTTAAAATATATATATGTATATCAAAGTTTAAAGAGTTTATAAATTGGTTTTCAACTTGTTTTTTTTAAATAATTTGTTTGATGATCCTCCTACCTCTCCTTTTCTTTAATTTTAAAGAATTAATTTTAAAGAATTTATAAATTGATTCCCAACTTTTGTTTATGATTTGTTCAATAATCTTCCTAATTATCCTTTCCCTTAATTTATAAAAATATTGTTTGCTTCTACCATGTATTTCTACTAATATAAATACTAAATCAATAATGTTAATATAAATGCTAAATCAATTATGTGAGTGAATTAGCATCACGATATGGTTAAGTTTTTGTTCCCATTACCATAGATGCATTGTTCTTCACCCTGCATTTGTAGACCAATTATTTTTCATACTTTCAGCACGTTTTCAGACTGAAGCAATTCAATAAGCAGTAGAAAGAAGTTGCACAAGGGCACGTTGATTTACTAAACCAATATTATGATCCAATAGTATTGAATTGTGTGTAATCTGATCTCAGAAGGATGGGTGATGTGATGCATGTGGCCTCAACCTCAAGTGCAGAAGTGGTTGCCTGCTACCTGAAGAAATCCCACAAAGGAAAGCATATAATCCCATCGGAGAACTGCAAATGAGTAAACATTGCATTAATCTAATCTTTTGGACATCTTGCTAACAAGTAGGAGTAGTAATTAACAACCATTTTAAAGTTGAAAGATAATAAAAGTGATATATGTAGCAATCAGTACTAATATGTAAATTTGACAACCTCATCTAAGGCACTATTACACCTCACCAGCTCACCTAATCAAGTGCTAGCACACTTTGCAGCCTGCACAAGGATGAGCCAAAAATAGACTGAAGGAAGATTTTGTGGTGCAATCCCTGGCTACCAATTTCCATTTTTCAGTCCCCCAGCATCTGTGCTGAAAATGATTCATCTGCAAACTACCCTTGACTTGAAATGGCTTGCGTTCCAGCTCCAACAAGTAACAATCCACCTTCATCTATACAACCAAACAGCTCATCTTGCCATGTCACAATCCTATCTCTTGCAGTCGCAGGCCGATCAATTAAAACTTCGCGAAAGATCAATCAGAGCCGCCCAAGAACGTTAGCTAAATCGCTTGCGTCTCTGAAAAGATAATTCAGTGCCATGTGCTGCTGCTGTTTCACTATAAATTCACAGGAAGCTGATGTGCAGAAGAACACTACCCATGAACTGATGAACAACCTGCAGTCAGAGATGGCGTCGCCGCGAATCTGCTGTTCGGCGCTGCTCGTGCTGCTCCTGGTTTCCTCGTGCAATGCAGGTGACCACCCGGCCTGCCCGGCGGCGTGGTCGGCGGCGGTGGGGGCGGAGCTGTTCCACGGCGGCGTCGGCGGCGGCGGCGGCGGGGAGGCGCAGTGCAGCGCGGCGGCGCCGCACACGCCGGTGGCCGTGTTCGCGCACGACGTGGACCCGGTGCGGTTCGCGCTGAACCTGGAGTTCGCCGAGGCGGAGTTCTTCCTGCACGCGGCGTTCGGCGTGGGGCTGGACCACCTCGCCCCCAACCTGACGCTGGGCGGCCCGCCGCCGGTGGGCGCCAGGAAGGCCGGCCTCGACGAGCTCACGTGGCGCGTCTGCGCCGAGTTCGCCTACCAGGAGATCGGCCACCTGAGGTTACAACAAAGAATATGATTGAAATTCAAATTCACATTTCAACTATAGTTGTTTTTGGCTAGGAAAGTGTCCGTGCATTGCAATAGGAAAAACAAGTTTAAAACTAAGATTTAACTTTTCTTGATCTGGACGCTTCTTCCAGGAAACATATTTTAAGTGTGATCATATTTCAACTTAGAAAAGTAATTACACACCTGCGAGTAAAACCTGTTTGACATATGAATCTAATAACCTCGTAGAGTTCTACTAAAACGGGCATGTCTCGTATGTGTGTACGAGCCTCATTGGTTTGCCTATATTCCCTGTGTTGACATACGATTTTTCAAACTTGAATTTAAAGTTGATTTTAAGATATTTTTGACATAATTTATTTTTAGCATTGGCTTTTAAGTCGTTATGAACAAATATATAAAAGTTTTACCTATAAGGCTATGTTTAGTTCACACCAAAATTAGAAATTTGGTTGAAATTGGAACGATGTGACGGAAAAGTTGAAAATTTATATGTGTAGAAAAGTTTTGATGTGATGGAAAAGTTGGAAGTTTGAAAAAAAAATGTGTAACTAAATACGACCTAAATTAATTTTTATTCTTTAATAAGCCAGACCAATCGATGAGGCTCTACGTAGTTATGCAAAATTGGAAAGATCACAGTTCATAGATCAAAATTCATGAGTTGTTACCAAGAATATGGATTCTAAAATGGCGGTGATATATATATATGATCGCACTTAAAACTAATTGACGATGCAGGGCAATCCAGAGGACAGTGGGTGGGATCCCAAGGCCGCTGATAGACCTGAGCGCACACAACTTCGCCAGGGTAATGGACGAGGCGGTCGGCTACCACCTAGACCCGCCCTTCGACCCCGACGCCAACAGCCTCAACTTCCTCCTGGCCGTCTACGTCATCCCTTACCTGGGCATCAACGGCTACACGGGCACCAACCCGCTGATCGACGGCTACGCCACCAAGCGCCTCGTCGCCGGCCTGCTCGCCGTCGAGTCTGGCCAGGACGCCGTCGTGCGCGGCCTCCTCTTCGAGCACCGCCGCGAGACAGTGTCCCCCTACGGTGCCACGGTGGCAGAGCTCACCGACCGTGTGTCGGCGCTGCGAAACAAGCTAGGGCAGTGCGGAGTGAAGGACGAGGGGCTCATCGTGCCAGAGCAGCTCGGCGCTGAGGGGAAGATATGCACCAACATCCTCTCCGCCAACGTCGACTCGCTCTCCTACAGCCGAACGCCGGCAGAGTTGCTTAGGATACTCTATCTAACTGGCGATGAGCACGTACCCGGCGGGTTCTACCCGGAGGGCGCTAATGGGAGGATTGCCCGAATGTTCCTCAAAAAGCCACCTCGCATTAACCACGGTGTCTAATTAGCTATGCCTACAATTGGTAAATGGGTCCTATCCTCCTATTACCTCACACATCAATATATAATGATAGTGTCATTAGAATGATTAATCACTAATTATTACCAATCAATAACCACTAATTAATTTTCAAAAACGATCTCGATCTCGCTCTTTGGTTGTGCTCGGTCTTGCACCGGCACCGCGAGAGCAAGCGGTCTCTCCCTGTTGAGACGTCATTCTCGCGTATCAATTATGCGATACCGATGGTATATTTGTGAAAAAAAAAATTAAACCCTAATTATTTTTAAGAAAAAAACAAATGATAGTATATTTTCAAATTTAATTCGAAGAATTTATCGAGCAGGATCAGTACCAGAAGTCCTGATTATTTTATTGATCAGGCGGTACCCAGATATGAACTATGAAACATTAGCAGATGAATGAGATCCAAACATTAGCAGATGAATCTGTGATCCTAGATGGCGACATATAGGACTCGAGAGGAAGAATCCACGATAAATATGTCAGCCTAGAAAAGAACTTCTGATAAGCATAGCGACATGGATTCTTTTGAAACAAGTGCAATGATGTCAGCCACACGATGCATCAAGAAACAGATGTAATAAAGCTTCAACATGGATAAAACATTATCAGGATAAACCGATCAAGTCACACGAATTTTTTCGGAGTACGAACTGATAACACAGGCATTGCATGAAGTAGCTAGAGAGACATGAAATTGAAACGAGTTCTTCCAGGTAAAACTAGTAGCAAGATCTACTGCTGCTTGACCTCAGCCTTCCTCTTCTGCCACAGCCTATCCAGAGCACTGTCAGCATCTCCCTGTCAATAAAAAGAGATGAGAACCGACCGGAGGAGGCAACATTGCAACAAAAGTCATGTACATAGCATATGAGCAAGAAAAACAGCTAGGTCCTAGCTACCAGGATGGCACCAAGAAATAACTGATGGGACTCGCATTAGAAAAAGATAAATGCTAGCTATCTGGTTTTGGACATCATGATAGTAAAAGAGTCAATGTACAAGTATGATTTTTACATTGCTGTCATTCAGGTAAATTTGCCACAATATCAATGACTACGCAAACTTATAAACAAAGATGTGGACCAACTAGGTATCAAATGAAATAAACCAGAAGCATCACATAATTATGTAAAATGCTCAGGCTAACAAAAACGAGAAGTGAATTCATAAAAACAATCCACAAAATTGTTAGCCATATCAAACTTTCTGCTTGTGTATTTACAGCACTAAAGTTCAGTGACATGATCAGCTGCCGGCAACAAGAAGTCACGCAAAATTCATGACCATGAAGGAAATAACACATTCTGAATTCTGATAGGCTGTGAGCAATACAGCTGACAGTTCACAAAGAAAAATACAGGCACATTACAATAAACAAAGGATTGCAATGATTACCTGAGCACGGATGAACCCAGAGAGAGCAAAGGTGGTGAAGCGGCCATCGTACAGCCCATTCTCATCCACATGCCCAATGTTGATCTGGACCGAGGCGTGGTCCTTGGCGGTGATGATCCTGTTCGTGGCCGAGCTGCGGTAAACCAACACGACAAGCATTAAGTACATCTCAACAATCAATCGAATTAGACAAACAACTCATCAGGAATGACAGAAACATACCACTTCCTGGGGACGTAGAGGTCCACCATCTGACCCTCCTCGTTCTGCATGGTGGCGGTGGATGAAGCAAACACCACAACAGCGACTGCAAAGCAAAGCAACAATACACACAAAGATTAGGAGAAGATACATGGAACACCAAAACTTATCCCCCCTCAACTAAAATACTCAATAGAACTAGGCATACAGTTTTAGTTTATCTAGCTCCATATCAATCAAACGGGACGATATAAGCGACATATCATCTATGTGTACCCAAGAATTAGGATGTTAACCTTACACTAGACCTCGACAACGAGAAGTAACCGGATCTGAGAAAAATAAAAGCACTTCCTTCTATCCAATTCGACAAACTAGCCACGAATTTAACCGTACAGTTGCAAAGCGTGTACTAAATTTCATCTGCTAGACATGGAACTTGACCAACAAAAACAAAAAAATGCTACTCGACATGATAATGCTAACACACACCGATTCCTCGCGAATCGCAATCAGAAGATCGTAGAAGAATCGTCCTGCTAAGCAACCGCGCATGCGAATGGGAGAACAGGAAGCAGATCGGGAATCGGGGGGCGCACCTGAATCTCCCGGAGAAGGGAAGCGAGACCGAAGAGAGCGGCGGCGGCGGCGGCGTTTGAAGGGGGAAGAAGAACACGAGGAGCGAGGGCGATATATATTATGGCTTCGGGAGAGAAAAACCCTAGCTTCGGCGTCCATGGGCCCACCGTTATTGGGCCACGTTCGTGGGGAGGCCCAAAACGACTCGGCCGAGAAAGCCCACGCTTCCCCCGACCGGTTTCCCTCCCCCCGAGTCGAGGCGAGCTGAGACGAAGCGCGGCGGCGCGGGGAAGCGGTTGCGGCGGCGACCGGCGGCGGGCGGGCGGGCGGGCGGCGATGGAGCTGTCTATGAGCGGCGGCGCGCTGCGGACGTTCACGCGGTGCGTCACCTGCCTCGCGCGCGTCGGCTCCGACCTCGTCCTCCAGGCCCACCCCGCCAAGGTGGTCGCCGCCGCCGCCTGCCTGCCTCTCCGCCGCGGTTTCCTCCTCCATTCGCCGGCGGCGAGCTGTTCTGACATTTTCTTTGGGGGTGATTTGGTTTCTCCTTTTTCAGCTTGAGCTGCACACGCTCAACAGCTCGCGGTCGGCGTACGCGTCCATCTCGCTGGCGCGGGACTTCTTCGACGAGTTCAGCCTCTCCGCCGCCGCCGCCGCCGACTCGGCGCCGTCGTCGACGCCGCTCCAGTGCAGCGTCCTCCTCAAGTCCGTCCTCTCCGTGCTCCGCACGCCGACCGCCGCGCTCGACCGCATCGCCGCCTCCCTCCCCAACCCCGACGCGCCCAAGCTCCAGCTCACCCTCCACTGCCTCAACGGTACTCGCCGATCCCCCTCCGTCCTCTAGGGTTTTGCAATTTTGTGGGGGATTTTTGCGCGCAACATTTTTCTTGCCGTTGGCGCGCTTTTCTTAGTTTTGCCGCCATTTTTGCTGTTTTTGGCGAGTGCTCCTGAATTTCTCATCAAAATTTCGAGCTGTTCAGGGGTGAAGAAGACGTACTGGATCGCGTGCAGCGCGGAGTCCGAGGTGCAGACGCTGGCGCTCGACCGCAGCAACTTCTCCAGCCGCCTCGCCATCCGGCCGCGGGACCTGGCGCGCCTGCTCTCCAATTTCCAGTCCTCGCTGCAGGAGCTCACGGTTATTGCCACCGATCCTGCTGCTGGGCTCTCCAACGTCGGCGTGGATGGTGAGATTGAGGGGAAGGCTGTCGAGCTCAGAAGCTACATTGACCCGACGAAAGGTGGCATCTCATGGTGTTTGTAAACTGTCCTTTTTTGTATTATGAGGTGATGATTGGGTTGTGGTATTGTGAATGTGAATTTTCTTTGCACTTTGCGGTTATGCAGATGACTGCGATACGAGGCTGCACACGCAGCTGTGGATTGACCCAACAGAGGAGTTCGTGGAGTATGTACATTCCGGTGATTCAGTGGATGTCACATTCGGGGTGAAAGAACTCAAGGTGATCTATGATCAGCCCTATCAGTATTTTGTTTCTTCGAAAACCTACATTCAATAGATGTAGGACAAAAAACTTCTGATAATTATAGAATGGCTCCTTTAAATGGGAAATAATTTGGTATTTAGCATTCACCTAATTGAATCAGAGAATATTTCTTTAAGATCATTATAGAAAGAATAACGTAAATAATATGTATCCGTGTGTCAGCATGCACAGTACTGAATGTATGTAGAGCTTACAAGTTGCAAGTCAATACTCTTGCTTTTCCATCGAATACATGTAGGTTGCTTCCTTGATGTAGTTTTGTTAATTCTTCCGTCTCCTTGCTGGACTAGAAGGATGTGGCTTTATGGCTAGTTGTATTCTGAGTAATTGGTATAGAATATTCATTGTTTTTTAAACTTTACTGCTGAAACTTTAAGGAAACAACTTAGTTCCCTGCTCAGGTATTTTTATGGCATGAGACTACATATATTGTATTTACTTTTCTATCTCTTCCAACCCAGGCTTTCTTAACATTTTGTGAAGGATGTGAAGTTGATATCCTCCTATTCTTTCAGAAGGCTGGCGAGTAAGTAGCCATACTGGTTTAGTTTTATTATCCATTTGGATTGGACCTTACAAGTCTTCATTTGAATTGCAGGCCTGTCCTTTTGGTTCCCAAATTTGGGCTTGACGATGGATCAAGTTCTGATTTTGATGCAACACTAGTTCTTGCCACTATGCTTGTATCACAACTTACTGACAGCAGTGTTGCCCAACAGCCAACTACTTCTGCACAGCGAGCAGAAGAACCAAGGGTTGCTGCTACACCACCACCAGTCCCTGAAAATGTCTCAAACCATACTAAAATATGGTCGGAGCTATCAGGTGTGTATTTCTGATAAATGGATCCTGTCAACTATTGGTATGATCACACACCAGGCAGGGCTTTCTGTGTGGTACTCAACGCAGGACCAAAGGGCCTGTACAGTGCATATTGGCTACTTTCGGAAGGCCATAATTGGACTGTACGCCATATGACTGTGTGTGATCAAACTAACTGGTGGCTGGAGAACTTCATTTCTCTCTGATTATAGAATTATCCTGTTGATATATCATCATGCTAGTCAAACATAAGAAAGCTTTTGTTAAACAGGTAGTGCTCCCAAAAGTTTTGAAGTTAACAGAGAAAAATACACCCAGAAGGAGAGAAATGCCAATTCTAATGCACTGAATGACACATCAATGCTGCATAGTGTAAATGCTCGCTACAAGCCACCAGTCGCTGATAATGCAAACGATACGTATCCTATAGATCACTTCAATTCATTCTTTCTAATTTATCCTCTTGTATTATTTGCTACTGCATCCTATTCTGCAGTTGCAGCTTTATATCTTGTATATTTCTTACGACTGTGACCTTCCAATGTGTTCATCAGACATCAGACATATTAACAGCAGTCCTTAACTCTGTTCTCTCTGTCCAAGTAAATTAAGTCTGGACTTAAAAAATAAATTTCTTTAATCGGGATTATGATATCATTATGGATTATGATATCATTATGGTATTATATACTTATGTCTTTCTCTCAATCCAAAGAAATTAAGGCTGCATGCGAGAATTTTTCTTTAGTTGGGATTGTGAGATCAGCATCCCTCAACACAAAATGCTTCCTTCCAACATTATATCAATAGACAGAACAGAACCTGTGTCCACTTGCCTATATTCCCCATGGTAAATACTTCCTCCGTTTCACAATGTAAGTCATTCTAGCATTTTTCACATTCATATTGATGTTAATGAATCTAGACATATATCTATCTAGACTCATTAACATCAATATGAATGTGGGAAATGCTAGAATGACTTACAATGTGAAACGGAGGGAGTATGTATTTATTGCAATTCATCTAGTTAAAACCATAAGACACTTTCAGTGATAATGTTAAGGTTAGTGTTAGGAGTCAACTTACAGTCAATCAGTCATACTGTATTTGATCTGACTAATCTGCATGAATATAGATATATACAGTGTCAGAGGGAGATAGATTGTGGTTTTCTTAGACACAATGCCAGGCCCTGAGGTCCATAGAAAATCTTGCATACAATTCTATAGGGAATAGTTACTAAGGAAAACATTACATCAATGGAGAGAACAGAGCATTACAATCCTATAGGGAATAATATGGCAATTAGGTCCTAGTATTGAGCATTTGTTACTGCACAGAACTGATGTATTATGTCAAGATAGTTGATGTTCATGTAGAGTTTTCCATATGTTGTTAATAATGAAAGAGGATCCACGAGGTCTGAGTTTCGAGTTATTTCTGCTTTCCTACTTCCAGAATGTATTTCCTTGACTAGTTTGTACTACAGAATGCAGCCTATGCAAATGGATCACTTGGAAGAGCCTCCTGGTTAATATCACAACATAAAACACATCATATTTTGAAGTCGTCTGTTACTGATGCATTTATATTACAATATATCTAAATAACTTGCTTTATTTTGTTGTAGATGTTGTCAGTGATAATCCTCGATCACAGCATCACCCAAGCAATTGGGTAGGTGCTGATGAAGATGACGATGATGACGAAGATGAGGAGCTTTTCGTCCAAACAACACCGCACTACATGGACTAGGGATCGATGCTGATCCTTATACTTTAGGTACATATCAGGCTATCAGCCCGATGCAAAGAGAATGGACTAGAAACTAGTTAAGTACCTTTCTCTTTGCTCTTAGTTCTTTCAGGCCTGAAGTTAACACAGAATATGTTAATCTTTTTAACAATGTGACTTGTTTGTATCCGATGTGGCTATGGCATTTCTCATAGTGCAGAGATTTTTTTTATGACATATTGAATGTGAATTGTTCTATGGTGCACAAGTGGCCTGTTTGTCCTTGTTTTGTTTGTAAGGAAAATAATTGTGTTTGAATCTATACGAGCTGCATAGTCCCTTGTTCATAAACAACATTTCTACACTCCCGGTGTTTTGGGGGGTGCAACCAGGTATCAGCTTGTTTATGTGATCTCTTCATAAACCTTTGTGTATGCGGACGCATGTGCTGCAGGGTGCATCATTGCATTACTGCAAAGTTTAGGAGGAATCATGAATTCTTTAGTGATATGTTTCCATATTCCAATATTTCTCAATCTCTGTGAACCACTCATGCGTTGTATGGCTTGTGATGATCTGCTTTGTATGGTCTTTTGGTTTGTTTACTACTGTGCATGTAGCAATGTGGTTAAACTAACATGATGCTTTTACTTTACCTGACCATAGAAGATGGTTAAAAAAAATGTAATTTGAGATCTGGCATGGAAACTGCTTCCTTTTTCTAATGGTAGTTTTGCTTCTTCCGAGCATCTTGCATCGGCATCCTGCCATGCGCGTTCTGCTTTGATGGAGCCTGATGTCTCAATCCTATCACCTTATTTTTAATGCTTTGATTGATCTGATACATTGGTCTTTCCCTGGAGTATTGGTTAGCAAGAACTCAGAAAGACTATCGGTAGGGAAAAAGAGTTAACCTTTAGAATTTACTCTAAAATATAACAACTTATCCCCCAACATTACATTCTCAATCAATCATAACCCTCCATCATTCAAATTTCCTAACTGATAGTATCTTCAATTCTCAACCAATCACAATATTCCACCATTTAATTCAACATATTTTTTTAATAATCATGTTTAACTCTAAAACTCTTTATATGTTTGGACAGATGTAGTAGTTAGCAAGGTAAAATATTACTGTTCAAGGATGGATTAACATTAACAGTCTGTTTATAGGAGTAAATTTTAGGCATAGTTAAGTTCACTCATTACCCTCATGTAAAAACACTATTACTGCCCTGTTCTAAACTCTATTTTGGAGTTGTAGTTTAACAACACGAAAAAACATGATGGCTTATTATCGTATAATTAATTAAGTATTAATTATTATAAATTTAAAAAATCAGATTTTTTTTTATTTATAAAACCTTTATATGCATATTTTTTGAAAAAAAAAATATCATCTAACATCTTGAAAAATATGCTAACGTAAAACAAAGAAATTGCAGTTTGGAGTTAAAAGAAAAGAGTAAATTTCACTTTGGTCAACCTTTATTTACCAAATTTTCACATTGGACTAGAGTTAGACTTATATTTTCACTTAACACCATATATAGTTACCATTATTTGCACTTCGTACCGGGTTTCACAAATTACACATAGTATAATGATTGTAGATCTGATCTTATTTCTTTTGTGTTAGAAAACTTAGAATTCAACAATTTGTACTAACACTACAGTTGGGTATTGTAAAACATGTAATATCTTTTCTAGAAAAATAGTTCTTAAACTCAATATTTCTCCAATTTTGTCCCTAGTATAAGGGTTGTGAATATTCATATGTAGTAGTAATGAAGTCCCATTAATTTGATAGGATATCATATAACATGTTACAATTATTGTTCTTGCGCTAAGCATATTTGCATGGCAGAGATTTCTATATCATTGTTTCTTGTAAAATGCTAAGCACCTAGACAACAACTCGTGTGATGGTAACTATAAAACCAGGTCTAAAGTGCAAACAATGGTAATTATACGTGGTGTTAAGTGGAAACATGAGTCTAGCCATAGCTTAATGTGAAATTTTAGTCAATAAAGATGGTCCAAAGTGAAATTTACTTGAAAGAAAATAACGTAGGCTATAGGTCAGTATTTTGTGGCCTTTCGCGATTAATTTGGTTGAGACTTCTTCTTAATGGCAAGCCATTCAGGTCAGCAGGTGTGATCTTTCCCTGCAAGTTGAGTTTTTTTTTAACATCACAAGTAAAGCATTCAGCCAAATTCAAACAGTCGTCGCTTGTCAAATTTAAACAAGGTCAACTTTTCGTGTCATTATCACGTAATTTGCACAGAATTCGAAGCCTAGTAGTCTCCAGAATCTCTGTGCTGCCTGTATATAATGCCCCTGGTCAGCTGCTACGGCCACTCTCCAGTCTCCACACCTGCCGGCGACCACCGCGCGCATCGCAAGGCACAGAGGGCCTCCGTTGCCGACGTCCGCCATGGCACGGCGCGCGCCGCCGTTCGTCCTCCTCGTAGCCGCCGCCGCGGCGGCGCTCGTCGTCGTCCCTGCGACGGCCGCCACCGCCGAGGCGCTCGTCGCCCACTGGGGGATGCGGGCGGCGCCGTGCCTGGAGGGCACGGTGGAGGAGGAATGCGTGGCCGACGGGGAGGTCGGCGTCGTCGGGCTGAGGCGGTGGCAGCGGCGGCGGCGGCTGTTCCAGCTGATGGACGACTACGGCGGCGGCTGGGCCGGGGCGGCGGCGGCGGCGCAGTACATCAGCTACGCGGCGCTGATGAGGAACTCGGTGCCGTGTTCCATCCCCGGCGCGTCCTACTACAACTGCCGGCCGGGCGCCGACGCCAACCCCTACACCCGCGGCTGCTCCGCCATCACCCAGTGCCGCGACTAGCTAGCCAGCTCGCCGGTGCACTGCACGCGCATGCAGCTCGTGTGCCACTCCTCCACTCCTTCTTTGCCCTTGTTAGTTGTCGCCGATCTCCGAGGGGATCCTCTACCACAATGTCACTATACAGTTATTCGTATGTGGACCTCACCATTTTATTACTCTATCTGTTAGTGTTTATAATGGTGGTGCTATTATGATAGATGATATAAAACCTGATCTCCTGTAGCCACCTGAGCTCTTGTTCTAATCTGGACCATCTGGTCACTCTGCCTGTCTCGATGTCCATGATCTTGAGAGGGTTTTTTTTATCCTGCTTGATTTAATTTACAGCGCGTTCAATTACTACTACTATGCTGTTATTGTCATTTTCCCATGACATGTGGTTGCACATTGCACTTGCAATACTCATCTTGCATCGTCATGTTGACGAGGGTAATCTAGCTAGCTACCAAAGTAATGGATGCTTCGATTGATCGGAGACAAGCATTTCCTGCTGCATGCATAGCTCGATTCTGTGCTGATGAAAACATTGTTGAACTGGAACGCGGAAGGAGCTTGCTTCGCGGGGAAAAATAAAAAAGAGAGAGAAGTATTGAGAGGAGTAATCGCGCCGACAATTCAATCTCCTGGGGAGGTACAAACTGTAATAGGATTGACCCAACGTCGCAACCAAACCAAAAACCACACGAAGCTTCTCACCCCTCCAATGGAAACCCAGCAAGTTGATTGGCAGGAATCAGGATGTGGCAGGAATTTGCGAACGCAATTTTTTTTTCCCCGAGCACAACTTGCGGTGGAATTTATCCCTCCAAATTATAGCTTTTTTTAGGCTATGTATTAGTCGACAGCGAGATATTTGTGATAACTTCGTCAACCTCAAGACGTCAAGATATGTTGGTACATTCTTTTAAAGATGTTTATAGGGGAGGAGAGCGTGTGAGCACTCATAAAAATGAGTGTGAGCGCATGTATTTATACCGTATTTTCTCTACTACTCCACCTCCATGTAAAAACATCTTTCCTTCCGTACAAACCGTCAACCCTGAAATACCGATTTCTAAAAAAGAAAAAGGCCATACTAGGAAAAACGAATAATCCATTGGTCTAAATCCTTCCATTAAACTGAATAAAAAATCATTTGTAACGCATATGTGTCCAATAGAATGGGAGAGGTCATAAGCCTAGTATAGTCTACTTATACATCGTGTATTATCTTTACAGTGGTACATGGCTTGAGCTATCCATATGCATTTGGGTAGCCATAAGGAACAAAACAACAATATAACAAAACAACAATACAATCTTTCTCTTCTCTCCTCACACTCTCTTTTTCTATGCATATGAGATATTTAATATAGGGGTTATTAATACGCGCGCACACGTCAGGAATCAAAGTCGTGCTCCCCTCAATTTCGACTTAGATATTAAGCCCCCTACCGTGACGAGTGGATTGGAGTAGCGTTTTCTATCCATGGTTCATGGTTAAAACTTCAAATCAGATTGTAAAACTTTCAAATTAAAAAAAAAGAAACTTTCAACTAAGAACAATAAAAAATTTAGAATATTTAATCTTTCTATTTATGGATTGAAACTTCTGACTCAAATTAGAAAACTTTCAACTCAAAACACGAAACTTTTAACTTGAATTGAAAAACTTTCAACTCGAATTAGAAACTTTCAACTTGAATTGAAAAACTTTCAACTCAAATGGGAAAACTTTCAATTCAAGACCTAAAACTTTCAACCAAAAATCGCAAAACCTGGAAACTTGTCAGTAGCAAGAGACTCGCCAAAGGAAGGGGAAGAAGAGGAGGTCGATGTCTTGTTGAGGACGTGGAGGATGAAGAAGGGTAAGCTGATGTCTTGAGTTCGCCGGCTTCTCATTCGAGCAGAGCATCGATTGATGGAGTAGCACATCGAGGAGGCGAGAAGGTGATCCTAACCTCGTTGGTGTCTTGGGGGGAGAGGAAGAGGAAGAGGGAGTTAATTAGGAGCAGCGGACTTTGCCAATGCTGTTGATGTTAGATGAAGGCAAGGAAAAGTGGCACGTCGAGGTTGGATAGAGGTTGGGAGAAGTAATGGCGAACTAGAAGTGGGAGCATTAGGAGGAGGTGAAGCAGAGCGATAGGTGTGGAATAGATCTATTTAAGAGGATAATGTGTACTGGAAAAAAAGAAAAGAAAATGAGGAATGGGTTATCCACATGGATCTACTAGACCTAAAGCCTTCGCCGTAGTGAAGCTGGGCCAAAACTGTTCACGATTTTATTTCATAGCGCGCACCTACAAAATAGGAATCTTGTTTAATATACTCCTTTATTATTTATCTGGGCCCACCTTACAACTCACTTCTAAACTTAACCATTGTGAGAAATGAAAATAGCTAATGATCACTTCTCATGGTTCCACCTATAATGACTAGTTGAGCAATATACATTGGCACATTGCTTATGCCCGAAAGCGCAAGAGACTCGGGCTTGTTTGGGAAACTTGAAATTATAAGAAGCTGTTGGTATCAAGTCAAATTATGAGAATCTAAAAAAGTTAGGTTTCCCAACTTGTGATTTTTTTGTCCATTTTCTGGATTCTACGACTACAATTTCTTAGTATCTAGACGAAAAACTAAATTGATTAAGAAAGCCTTCTGATTCGGAGAGAAACTAGTTCCGTTTGAGAAAGCCCTCCATCTCCCGTTGCAAGTTGTCCCCATCCCTGGTGCTCTTGGTCTCTTGGCAGCTGTGGAAGGAACAAAACTCTAGGGTTTTCGACTATGCACTCTCTTCGATCTCAGTGGTTCTGGAGTCCATCCACTCAGAGGGCCATCTGTGGTCTTTAGCTGGCATTGCCGCTTTTGGAGACTTGTTGGGAGTATAGAGTGGCTCGGCCCCTTCCCGCTATTTGGAGTTTGTTTTTAGCCGCCGTAGTTTTTTAAGCTCCAGTTTCTTTTTTGCTTTTTTCCCCCTTCCCTTTGCATAAGCCGGTTTGGCTGATTGCATCGTGCAACTATAACTCTTTTCTTCTAATATATTGACGTGCAATTCTTTTGCACGTTCGCGAGAAAAGCTGTCCCCATCCCATTGACGATTGGGACCCACATGTCAGTATCCCGTAAGGCCCAAAATAACCCATCTCCGTTTCCTACGGCCCATTACGCAGTGAGCCCACATCCAAAGCCCACGACGAACAAACTGCACCACTCAAATCACTCCTCTCCCAAATCCCCGACCAAAATTATCCAATCTTCACCTCCCACACCCCGAGCTCGAGCTCGCACGGCTGCCGCCGCCGAGCTCCGCCCGCCGCCATGGCGTCCGCCTCCCTGTCGCTCCGCCTCCCCACGCCCTCCACTGCACCTTCCTCCGGGGCCTCCTCCTCGTTCCTCTCCCTGCCTCCGACCTTGCTCCGCCAGGCGCGGGGTGGCGCGGCGGCGTCCTCCGCGCTGGTGGCGCGGGCGGCGTCGGGGGGGAGCCCGAACCCGCTCTTCAACCCGAGGGCCGACCCGTTCCTGTCCACCCTCGCCGCCGCCTCGCCGGAGGAGCTCCAGGCTGCGGCGGCAGGTGGCGGGCGCCGCGGCGACGACCACCTGCCGTTCCTCGAGATCTTCCAGAACGCCAAGCTCATGGCCTCGCCCGCGCAGGTGATTGGGGGGGAGGGGTTTCCCGTGATTTTCCTGCGAAAGAGTTAGCCGAAACATGAGATGCTGATGCCGTAGTCCATAGCAATAGCAACATAGCGTTCCGCGAGTTAGCCGAAACATGAGAGGTTGAGAATGACTATAATCATCCATAGTCCAGCACAAATCAAAGTAGTGCATAGCGCTCAACATCACCTATCATAGGTTGGTACTACCTCCGTTTCATATTATAAGTCGTTTTGACTTTTTTTAAGTCAAACTTCTTTATATTTGATCAAGTTGATAGAAAAATATAATAATATTTTCAACACAAAACAAATAAACTATCAAAATATGTTCAATGTTAGATGTAATGAAACTAATTTGGTACTATAAGTGTTGCTCTATTTTTCTATAAACTTGGTCAAACTTTCAAGAAATTTGACTAAAAAAAATCAAAGCGATTTATCTGTACTAATATAAAAGATGGTAGTGGTGGTAGTGGTGACTTTGTCATTACCATCACCCAACTACCATGCGGGACTCATGAACCGTGAGATAAAAACTTTTCTTGTTTCCTAGCTCCCACATACCATTAGGGCTGTCAACGAGCCGAGCTCGAGCGAGCTCGTCTGCCTAGGCTCGAGCTCGATACAAGCTCGAGCCGAGCCTATAAAATGTTCGAGCTTTCTGACAGGCTCGGCTCGAGCTCGACTACCGAGCTTGATTTTTAAGTAAGACAATATATATTTCAAAGATAATCTTTAAAAAAATAATCAATTTCTAGTTCATCATATTAGTAGAAGAGTAAAAAAGAATAAAATAAATATATGATGTCAATATAAGACATACAAAACATATTTGATCTCCTAATTTATTAAATAACAACAAAAATCATATATAACTAGGCTCGTTGGAAGCTCGAGCTCGGCTCGACAAAGCTCGCGAGCTTAGGGAGAGGCTCGGGCTCGGCTCGTCTGGAGCTCGAGCCGAGCTCGAGCAGCTCGCGAGCCTAGAGCTTTTTTGACAGCCCTACATACCATAGACCCCGTCGAAAGGAAAATGTAACGATAGAATATTGTGAAATTTTCCATCTCTGTGAAATGGCAGTAAAATTAGCACAATGATAATATATTAGACAATTAGAAAAAAATCATTGCAACGCATGGGCATTATACTAGTAATATGAAACAGAGGGAGCATTTATTACTAATTCTAAAAGATTCTCAACTAGTAACATGTAAAATACAACCTCAATCGCTCCTCAAGCAATACATTAAGATTACCTGGGATTGGAATGTTACACGCTTATACATGGTGATACCTATTGTGTTAAGATTTCGATCAATGAACTGCTGATTTGAACTGTAATGCACCCAGCTTAATCATCTGTATGTGCAGAGAACACCTTTATTTTCATACTGAACGTTGCTTCACTTAATACTTCATTACCTATAATCTGTGGCAGGTGGAACGATCTAGCAGTTCTTACAGCCAGCACAGGCCTAGAAGGCCTCCCCCTGACTTGCCATCATTGCTTCTTCATGGCCGAATTGTTTACATTGGCATGCCGGTATGAATTGCACCATGTTCTCTATGTGAAATATTTTCTTCAAGTCTTACTATTTACATATGTGGATGTAAAACATGATGACAAGAATGTTGGTGAGGTCAACCAACGTGGATAAGCAATTTCATGAGAATGTTAGATCCTGAGCTATCAAAAGTTGAAACTACTAGGGACTGGCTACTGACATTTTGCATTTCAGTGGTGTTAAAAATTGTTTATATTAGCAACAAAATATAATTGTTGTTGACCTAATTCTTGAATACAAGGTTGGATGACTTCTATTCCCGGTATACGCCTGTCATAACAAATTCTTTCTTATATACTCTGCATTATTTAAGATGTCTTGGACTACCAATGTCTTTTCTCCTCTTTTTTTTTTTGTAAATATCTATTAAATCGGTTATTCATGCAGCTGTTATAGCCTCATAAGATTGTTTTTTCTTGCTATGTAGTTGGTGCCAGCAGTTACAGAGCTTGTCGTTGCGCAGTTGATGTACCTTGAGTGGATGAATAGTAAAGAACCTGTTTACATATACATCAACTCCACAGGAACAGCTCGTGATGATGGTGAACCAGTAAGCATGCTTATCTTGTTCGGTTCATGGCTCGCAGTCAACTATTCTCTACCGTTTTGATAGTATTAAGTAGCCTTTTGTCATTAATTATCATCATAATTGCCGAATTGTTCTTAGACTGACTTTGATTTAGGGGATAAGATAACCAAGTTAGCTAAGCTTAATTCCAAAAATTACGTTTGTCAATTAACATGGATAACCTGAATTACCGTTTTGGCTAGATTAGATGGGGTAGCAGTAGCACTTAGCAGTACAACAGATAGAACTCTTGAGGACTAATTGTGGTCAGTTAGCTTATGCCACCTTTCTATGGGCTAACATAATCTTAACCTCTTGGGTTAGGGTGGTTTAAAGGTGGGGTAGTAGTAGCACTTAGCAGTACAACAGACTCTTGAGGATCAATTGTGGTCAGTTAGCTTATTCCACCTTTTTTTTTTGGGGGGGGGGGGGGGGGGGTTAACATAATCTTAACCTCTTGGGTTAGGGTGGTTTAAAGGCTTTGACAAGGTTAAATTATTTACTTAGCCTGTCAAACTACCAATGTTTGAGATATTAAGCCCTTTACCCACCCCCTAATCATCGTTTTATTTTGAAAATTGTCAGGTTGGAATGGAGAGTGAAGGTTTTGCTATCTATGATGCCATGATGCGGATGAAAACTGAGGTGCATATATTACATCAATGTGTCCTTCAGTATTTCAGTTATTATTATTATTATTATTATTTTGTGCACTAACTATGTTGCAGAATACCGTTTTCTACTAAAGATTAAGAGTTTGTTTTCTAACATTTAGCACCCTGAACAGAGGTGCCCTTATTCCTATGTTTGTTAGGAGTTATTGGTGGATGCTATTTGCTTGTTTGCTGGATGAAATCTTTCAAAGATAATAGTCTTGCCCTAGTTTCTTTATGGATTTATTCAATAAAAAAATGACTGTAACTTCAAACTTGCCATGTGTTTGAGCACTGATGCTTTGAACTGTCAAAACCTGTTGTTTATCTTTTCAGAAAATTAGGGTGTGTTGTTGAACATGAGTTTGTTCATGTGGTTTACTGGTTTTCATTTTCTGATAATGAAGTTACCTTTTGATTTGCAGATCCATACACTTTGTATAGGAGCTGCGGCAGGTCATGCCTGTCTTGTACTTGCAGCAGGAAAGAAAGGAAAACGCTATATGTTCCCTCATGCCAAAGGTATTAATATGCCAGGAGTACTTTCTTTCCTTGATTGTTTCCTTTTTATGATGAAAAGATTCTATCATGCCAGCTATGATTCAGCAACCTCGTATCCCTTCATATGGAATGATGCAAGCATCTGATGTTGTTATTCGGGCGAAAGAGGTATGATCTGTGATTTTAGTTCTTAGTATTTTCTGCTATGGTGAGAGTTTTATCAGGGCATGCAGGAGATCTTAGTTCTCCTTTGTTCATCTTCCCGTTTTTATGTTGCATAATCAGTCACAGTTACCTTCTTTTGCTTCTTGTAGGTTGTGCACAACAGGAACACCTTAGTGAGACTTTTAGCAAGGCACACGGGGAATGTATGTGTATATTTTTAATATATTTCTTGAACTACTTGGTGCCTTGTTGTCATTAGAACATAAATTTATCTTTTATCAGCCACCAGAGAAAATAGACAAGGTGATGAGAGGACCATTTTATATGGATTCCTTGAAGGCAAAGGAGTTTGGTGTCATTGACAAGGTATTGTTGTTTCTCCGTTCATCAAACCTCTATTGTTTTGCTGTTTTCGGCATATCTGAAGTTCAAGCCGTACTAGTTTTCTATTGTTTAGTCAGCCATATAAATCTGTTCGTTGCACAATGCAGTCATGAAACTCATGATCTTTTTTGTTGTACTCCAATGGTAGCTTGCTAAATTGTATTGCCTGTGTATTTGAACACATTTCACTCTGCAAGATGTTGAATTTGTTAACTTGTGTGAGTTACAGATCCTTTGGCGTGGTCAAGAGAAGTACATGGCTGACATGCTCTCCCCAGAGGAATGGGACAAAGTTGCTGGAGTCAGACGCCCTGATATTATGTGATGTTGTACATTGAAATTTTAAATTAGGTAAGATATCCTCCGTTGTTCTGTAGATTGATGTTTGGAATTATGAACATTTATTCATATATTTGGTTTGATACTTTTATGATGTGCAGATTAGGCGGTTAAGTTGTGGGATGTGAAAGCAGCTGTCATCCAACAAGAATACCCCTCCGCTGTTCATTATAGGTGGTAAAAGCTCAGCGAAGTTCTTATTTACTGATAAGCTAGATTAAAGCAGGAACCATCAAGGTACTCTGCATGATGTCTGAATCAGAGCTAGCAAGGTTATGCATTTTCTGGAGCAATTGATATTCCTCGCATCATTTCCACGTCAGATTTTGGTAGACATTGCTGGTATATAGTTTGGTAGTTTACACATTTGTTAGTAAACCTTGACGCGGTATCAACTGAGGTCCAAACATTATCAGCACGAACAGGATGGTGTCCGAGAGATAACATTGGTCGTTATATCCTGATGTTATGGACTTCTGGGATACTGTGGCTGCTGTAATTCTCGATCATCCACATGTTCAGTTTCTTTATGCTTGATTCTCTGGTGTTGACCCATCACCCAGTGCACCTACAGCTTCGGCTTATAATAATAACAGTTGCAATCTGACGAGGCTCTACTCCCTCCATACACAAAATTTGTTTATTTTAGAATGAAGGGGATGCCTATATCCAGGTATTCATGCCATCATTGTATTTTCGTGCTCGGTATACACTCCATCTTAAAACAATAAGTTCACTTTTATACATGTGAATCAGTATAAAATGGATTTTTTTTTATTTTTAGACGGAGGGTGTACGTAGTAGTAACAGGAATTGATGAATCTATGTCTAGATTTACATATGAAAATGAACCTATTTTTGGTAGGAGGATGTATATGTAGTTGGGTGAGTGCTCTTCTCTCGGCAAAAGAGACATGTCACGGCGGGTGCAGCGTCAGACCTTTCTTGCTGCTGTCGGCAAGCGTTTTTTGACGCAGGCGGCTCGTCGTCGGCGGCTGCCTTTCTCTGTGCAGGCCGGCCGAAAGCGCCGAGCTGCTTGGAGTTGAGCTGAACCTGCAGGTTGGATACTTGCATGTGTAGTACGAGTTTTCGCAGAGACCTGGCTTGAGAGTGCGGCCACCACCCGGGCACGCACCGGCACATGACGCGGTGAAATATTCCGTGGAGTATTTGTTTAGTGGTGGTGGTGGCATCGCTGCATGTTGGGTCTCGTTTAGCCTCTGTAGCTGCAGCTGCGTCGGATGCTTGGATGTGGACCGTGATTGATGGCTTGTGGCTCAGGCAACGCGACGATGTTATGCTTTGCTGCTGCTCTGCCTTTTTTTTTCCGCGGCGCCTGCGGCTGCGCGCGCCGTCAGCGGACGGCGCTTAGCTTAAACTATACGTATACTACTCCACTATAATGGCTATGGTCTTGTTTAGGTTCCAAAATATTTTTCCTAAAAAATGTCATATCAAATCTTTGGATATATGTATAGAGCATTAAATATAGATAAAATAAAAAACTAATTGCACAGTTTGTATAAAAATCATGATACTTTGTATGAAAATCACGAGACGAATCTTTTGAGCCTAATTAATCCATGATTAGATATAAGTGCTACAGTAACCCATATGTGTTAATGACGGATTAATTATGTTTAATAAATTCGTCTCGCGGTTTCCAGGCGAGTTATGAAATTAGTTTTTCATTCGTGTCCGAAAACCTCTTTCGACATTCGGTCAAACGTTCGATGTGACAAAAGAAAAAAAAATTTTCGCGAACTAAACAAGGCCTATGTTGCCGGCTGAAGCGCTTGACGCTGCAGGGGTTTCTTTCGGAGTGTTTTTGTTTGTCGCAATAACGGTGGTGCTAACTGTGAGCGTGCGCCTTCAACTGATGAACGGTTGACCAGATCTCTTTGCTCTCCAGGTCTGGTGGTTGCAGCCTATACGAACGGCTCACCTGGCGACGTCAGACACTCTCCCAACTAATGGAGTATGGTCTAACTGTATGTCTTAATTTAAAGTCAATCTTCAATTCTGCATAGTACTTGTATATGACCATTATTGTTTCAGTTGAAATCTAGACGCATATTCCTCAACTTTTTTTTTTGGCATGTGGGATGTACAACATATTTGCTGTTGCTTTATTTGTCTATATCGCTGGTATATTCAACATCCTAATTTAAGAAGCTTATCTATCGGTAGCTTCTCTATCAGGTTATCAATGATCGAATCGATGGTGCCGGATTTATATGGTCTAAGTTACTGACCTATTTGGCTATTACATTGGTACTCGTTTATTCGCTCTTGCACCTATAAAAAATGATCAATATTATAGTTGCAATTGTTTACTCGCATCTTCTACAACAATTTAAGATATCCAACCTATTTTAACATGTTTTGCACAAGAAAAAAAAATCCTAAATTAAGGTATTCAACCCTTTGACTCCTAAACCAAGTATAAATAACAATCTAACTTGATTTTGCTTACGTGGCACACTGACTAAATCTTTATTGTTACTCGTCATGTAATGTATATGAGTCGTATATAACTTAACTTACTGTTTACACCCAACATTACTCAGCTCTACCTAGTAATAGGTTAAATGTGTAAGTAGTGTTAGTAAACGGATAGTTATACATTTAGTTTCCTTAATCAATATTGGAGTTAGCATACCATCAACATGTGATATTTTCTTTGACTAGAAAAAATGCCCGTGTGTTGCAACGGGTGAAGGCTATTTTAATATTATTTGTTATATGGTTTAGTTAAAATAAAATTCACTGTGTTAAATTTGCTTGGATATATGTTTTGTTAGAAAATCAAGAGCTGTAATTAGGAGTCCGACCGTCTCAAATTAGCATACGAGTTTTTTAACAAAGATTTTTTTATACGATTTCTTCTGTATTTCCAAAAGCGAACGAACTTAAAAACCAACTCAAATACGAATTTGTATTTCTAAAAGCAAACGAATTTAAAAACCGACCCATACACGTATGACGTACCAAAGTATCAGTAAAAACATCTTCAAGTTTTATATATTTTTCAGAGAAGATTACGGGCAAGAAGTCCTTTTTTGGAGTCGGACTTTTTTTTAAAGGAGACGACGTTTTTATTTCTTTTTTATACTGTAGAAGTTTTTTTTTCATTTTTTTATTTTTCTCGCCTTTTTTTTTCTCCACAGCAGACTCGGACTTTTCTTAAAAGGAGTCGGACGTTTTTTTTTACGGAGATGACTCCCGGTCGGGCGCCCGGTCGGGAGGGGGTAAAATCGGGCGCTGACGTCAGCATGACGTCAGCGCTTGATTTATGTGCAAAATTACTTTAAACTGATTTATCTCTTAAATTACTTATCCAAACTTATCCAAATCATGATCCGATTGCACGATTAAATTCGTTGCAATTAAATCTTCAAAACAAGACCACACATGGATATATTTCGATGAAAAAAAATTAACTTATTATTGAATTATTTTTAAATATTGCACTATGTTCCACCAGGTATATCGGAATTGTTTTACTAAGTAGATCGAAAATGTTTCACTCGTTTAAATCAGGTGTTGTTTCACCCTATATAAAAACAATGTTTTAGTAAATAGTGAAAGAATGTTTCAGTTCATTGCAACATTAGATCTATATATAGTGAAACATTGTGAGTACATTATGTGAAACATTTTTCGGTGGAACAAAAAATAAACTAAACTCCCTTAATAGGGGGTTTCCAAAATATGTTGGTTTTTTTTAATGGAATGTTTCGTTCGTTGCAACATTAGATCTATATATAGTGAAACATTGTGAGTACATTAGGTGAAACATTTTCTGTGGAACAAAAAATAAACCAAATTCCTTAATAGAGAGTTTCCAAAATATGTGGGTTTTTTGTTGCAAAAGAATATTTTAATTCACTGCAACATTAGATCTATAAATAGTGAAACATTGTAAATATACTAGATGAAATATCTTTTGTGTAAAAAATGGAGGGAGAAGTAGATGGGTCTAGCAGATAGCAGATATACAGGTGGGGGAGGGGTGCGCGGGGGAGCGTCCGATCCAGTTCCCCCCACGCCGGTCGCCCGGAGTACAGCATTTTTGTTTTTTATGATAGAAGTTATTTTTCTCCTTTTTTTTTCCACTGGAGGAGTCGGACTTCGAGTCGGTCGTTTTTTTACGATAGATGTTTTTTTTCTCTTTTTTTTTGTTTTTTCTCTATTTTTTTCGTCGTCTCTCTCTTTTTTTCCACCGGAGGAGTCGGACGTTTTTTTACGACAAAATTTTTTTCTCCTTTTTTATTTTTTCTCTCAATTTTTTTCCGTCGTCTCTCCTTTTTTTTTTCCACCGGAGGAGTTGGGGTCGGACTTTTTTTTATTTAACGATAGAAGTTCTTTTTTCTCACTTTTTTTACACCGGATGACGGATATGTATTTTCAAAAGCAAACGAATTTAAAAACCGACTCATATACAAATGATGTATCTAAATACCGGTAAAAACATCAATTTTTATAATAGTAGAGACTAACTTCAGAATTGTTTAGGAATACCCGATTAGAATGAGTAGAGATATAAATAGATATAGATATAAGCATGGGAGGAAAAGAAACCATGTCAACCATAAAGAATATATTTTTTTTGGATAGAAACGGAGGAGTTAATGATGGACACAGACGCGTAAAAACCGTAAAGGCATATTTTAATTTTTTTGGCTAAAGAGTTTACCAACACTTGGTATTAATAAATTCTAACCAAAATCCGATACATCATCAAAATCTTAATGCTATACTATTCAGTTTAACGCTAACGCCACTAAACTTCCGCAATGCTAAATCCTCTATCTACCATGAAAACATAGTCCTATATCTACCATCAAAACATAATAGACTACTCTTTCTATCCCACAAGAACTCCAATCCTGATTTCACATGGTGGATTTAGAGCAGGTACAATAGATCATTTTTTGTTGGCTATACTGCATCCATGTCAGAAAAATTGATGAGTTAGAGTGTGAATGACTAAATGAGTGGACAGAGAGTGAAAGCGAGCGAATAAATAAGCGTCAACTGCTCACACGCTCCAAGGTGAAAACTATCTATGCTACCATATCTCCTATTAGTTCCAAGGTGAATATAGACATTGTCTATATTCGTTGTACTAGGAGGGTTATATCCTCTCATAGATTGTTTTTTTACGAAGGAGTAGTTCTTTTCTCACGGAGAGAATGATTGGATAGAGAGCAAAAGGATATTGGCAGACGTGAAAAGGTTAGATTAAGAAATTAAGAATAGATGTATTCTATTTGGGTGTAGATGATTTAACATCTACTGCTACCCTGTCAAAAAAAAATAAATTCTAAGGATGTATCTAGACAACATGTATGTTCAAATACATCCTCAGGATTGGACTTTTTTTTAGACGGAGGGGATACTTATTTGTACACATACTGCTCTTATTCACTAGGGGCCTGTTTAGATCACACCCCAAAATTTTACACCCTGTTACATCGAACGTTCGAACACTTGCATGAAGTATTAAATATAGGGTAAAAAATAACTAATTGCACATATTGCGACTACTTTGTGAGACGAATCTTTTAAGCCTATTTGCTTCATGGTTTAACAATGTGGCGCAACAATAAACATGTGCTAATGACTGATTAATTATGCTTAATAAATTTGTCTCGTGGTTTACTGACAGATATTGTAATTATTTTTTTATTAGCGCCAAACACCCCATGCGACACACTGTATAATACCCGATGTGACACGCCAAAACTTTACACCCCTAGATCTAAACACCCTCTAGCTCTATTGCTGATGTGGAGATTTTTGGAGCCAACGATAGGTTATACTATTAAACTTACTCTCAAGGGGAGAGACAAATGACCAAAATACCGCTAATTAATATACTGATGGGTGGGTAGGCGAGGGGTATTGAAGAGATAAAACTTTTCGATTTGTGGACCGATGATAGGTAAGAAGGTAGAAATTGGTTTATTTTAGTTGAAAGGGGTTCAAGTAAACTAGATGAAAAGTTTCTTGGAAGTGAATGAATGAGTTTCTGAACACAGTGAAATATGACATTTGAGTGTGTCATACACTTGTGCTTTTCACTCGATCCCAATGACTGGACGTGTAGGTATGCAGTATGCCGATCACCAGGTTTGTGAAGTCTAGGATCTAGTATGTATTTTGTTTGGATTAGGATGCGGATCCGGTCCAGTGAATAGGGTATGCCTAAGCGCCCACCCGAGATTAAACTCGAGGGTGGGTAAGACCCAGAGCGAGGTTGTCCCCGAGCGAAGGCCCCTCAAAGAGGCGAGCCCGGAAACCATGCGTTTTTTTAGTACCCTAATGTCTAGTGTTTTTAAGTGAGAGGGATTCTACCTTTGGGGAAGGTAGGATTCCTCGGAGCAAAGAAATATTAGTGTTTGCTATTTTTGTGGAAGTGAGATAAGTACTTCCTTGGGGAGGGAGTACTTATCGGAGTAAAGGAAAGCACGGCGGTTACGGTTGTAAAGAGGTTAGTCCCGTTATTAGGAACAGTTAGCGATGTTGCCATCGGAGTTACGTATATGAGGATACGTGTATTGAGAAAAAAAGGCCGAGAAGACCTGTTTTCGAAGTTAGAACATAGGTTTAGTGATGTTAGAAGTTGATTTATTTTGGTACAGAGGGAGTATCTACCATCAAAACATAGAGAACTGATTAGTACACAAACTAAACTAGGCATCCAGATTAATGTTGGTACGATAACATATTAATCCTTATACGGTTAAAGTTCATACATTCGCAAAACACGCACAAAATCCACCGTTAAAAATCCTCTCCCCGTTTTTGAATAAAGTTCCTCCGCCTCCGGAGTCCGGACTGACGGACGGCCGAACCGCCAAACGACGACGGCCCAAACTCTCTGCTACTCCCACACCACAGTCAGCACGACAGTACCCAATCCCCAGCCCCACGCCACTCAAACACCCGAATAATCCTCATCCGCAAGAGGGCAGCAGAAGCAGCAAAATCCCCTGAAAAGAAAGAAAGGAAATTAAAAAAACTTCCCCAAATCGCCTCGGCCCTCGACCCTCATCGAGACAGCGCAGCCTAACCTGTCGCGCGCGCCGCTCGCCCGTATCATTGGTGGCCGCCTATTATATTTGCCCATTTGCTTGCCCCTTTCTCTCCTCCTCCTCTCCTCTTCGCTTCCCCACTAATCAATCCCACCACCTCTCTCTTACCTTCTTTCTCTTCGATTTTGTTCCCTTCTCTCGCGTCGCGAGTTCCTTGCTTCGTCGCGTCTCTCTCTCTCTCTTCTCTCTTCCGCCGCCCTTATCTCGTCTTCCTCTCTCTCTCTTCCCCTCGCGGATCGAGGGGGGGCGGAGATGGTGGATACGAGGAGGAGCGCGGCGGCGAAGCGCCCGGCGGCGGAGGAGGACCAGGAGGAGGAGAAGGCGGCGGCGGCGCCGGCGCCGGCTGCGGCTGCGGCGGGGGAGGGGGCGGGGGCGCCCGCGTCGGCGGGGCGAAGGCCGGCGAAGCGCGGCAAGGTGCGGGCGGGATCTCAACCCTTCCGTGCGCGGCGGTGGCGGGCGTCTGTTTCGGGGGGTTCTGATCTGTGGTGGCTGTTGGATTGTGTTGTGTTGTAGGCCGTGGCGGTGGAGGTGGATAGCGGGAAGGAGGATGAGGAGGCGGCGTCGGCGTCGGGGGTGGCGTCGGCGGCGGATGCTACGCCTGTGGTCGTCGGAGGCGGGGGCGCGGCGGTGCCGCCGCTTGACACGGCTGGGCTGCAGGCTCTGACCGGCGCGGTGGATAGGCTGGAGGCCATCCTGAGGCCCGGCGAGGCGGTATCGAATTCGGCCGGTACGGTTTCTTCCTCTCTGGTGGGTAAGACTACGGGGGTTTTGGATTGGCCCTCGGGGTCTGATGAATCGTCGCTGCAGGCCATAAGCGCAGTGCTCTTGCTAAGGATTTACAAGCAAAGTTGAAGGAAGTGAAGGATTTGGCGGATGGCGTGGCCAAAAAGCGGCTGCCCCCGGTGGCCAACAGGCGCCAGGAGCCCTGGTGCAGATTAATATCTCAACATGCTAAGGTCTGGCTGCGCGGTTTGTTCTTGATGTTGTTTGGGTCAATAAAACCGTGAACTCGATTTGCTCATTGTTAATATATTTTTTATTTTTTATGCTTAGATGATAAATTAGACTCATGAACACTTTTGTTACTTGTCAACAACATCATTTCTACTCATCAGCTTACTGCATACTACATTTTCGTAAAACTTCTTAGTTCAGAATAGTCCTGCTCCTCCAATCTTTAATAAGAAATTGTACTATGTTTTTGGAGCTTATCAGCGAACAGTTTAATTTCATATATAAATACAATTTATTCTATAACATAATGTTCACAAACAACTAAAATTCGTATATTATGCCATTAAGAACCTGGTAGTGTTCTCCAGGAATGCCTAAATTAAAGACACATTGTTAAATATGCTTGTATCCACTAAGTTACTAACTGTTAAATATGTTATGAATCCACTAAGTGTTAAATGTGTTATGTATCTTGCAGTCATAAATCCTTTTCCTCTAACTAAACCTTCACTGCTATTTCAGTTGGGCCATCAATAGGTATTGCAATGTGCAGGAATTGTATTACTACACAACGAATTACATAACAATTCTATCGCAAGCATGTATAATTATGAAACAGCGCTATTGTTATTTTTGCTATTGCATATATTTTGCCAACATTAGTTAGTAGCTACGTAATACTTCTAGCAAATTCATAATACACTCTCTGCTCTTCATTTGATTTACTGCATTTCTTTCTTAATGTGCAGAATCCTTCCATTCCTATTAATGCCTCGCATTTTACTGTTGGTTATGGAGCTCACCATAACTTGAGACTGGAAGGGTCATATACCAACTCACTTGTTTGTAGATTGAAGCATGCTAAGGTAACGTGGTGTTTTAGAAGTTCCTGTGTTATACACATTTCACGTCTTATGTACCCTGTCTTATCTTTATTTCATGTATCAGCGAGGTGCTCTTCTTGAAATCTACGAGTCCAAAGTTGTTCGTGTAAATGGAAAGTCTTTTGACAAGACTAATAAAGTTACGTTATGTGGAGGGGATGAAGTTGTTTTCAATACACCTGTGAGGCATGCTTATGTATCCTTTTTATTGCCTACGCCTTATCCAGTGGGTTCCTTACTGGCTCTGTTTGAGGCTAGCACCAACAGGATTTGATTTTTACTGGACACTTGTGCATAATAAGATTTTCAATTAAGTGATAAGCAATGATTAGACAATTAAATATTTTGCCTTTGAAAGTCCTTAATGCGATGTTAGATATTTGAGCAACTTCCAGAGGAGAAATCAAGCACATCGCCATTTTCCTCTACTTGGTGTAGTGTTCAGCCGGGGCAGCATTCGCTTATCAAAGATTTTAAGGATATTTTTTCATCTAAGGAGGCCAAAGTAACATCCTTTTACTTTGGAAAGAGTCGACCTCCTTTGATGCCTGTTGGTAATGTATTTCATTTGAAATTGCACTTTACCTGATAGAAAAAGATGCTAATGTAAGCATTATTGCAGGATCATCATCGGATCCAGATCTGGTCAGTAGTCTATGTAAAACAATGGAGGACCAGTTTAACTCTGAAGAAAACACACCATTTGCTTGGTGTCAATTATTGGAGGAGGATTTGAAAAATGCAACTATTGATCCTAGTGAAATCTCCGAGACATTTGATAGCTGTCCATATTATCTAAGGTAAACTGTACTTAGCTGCCTGTCTCATGGCTTATAATTCTGCTATTTTTGTTCTTAGGATATCTCTGTAAACTGTTGTAATAAATTTTGTTAATACTTATGAGATTGAGTATTTGTTCTTTGGCCTTGAAATGCCATGGTTGGTAAGTTCTGTGGTCTCTGTGCATCTTAGTTTGGAACTCTTGATAAGCTTCATCATTGTATTCCACACTCATCTAAATGATATTAGTTTGCAGACATATGGTGCTGTTATTTCTTCTAGGAAGTCTTATTCTTCTATCTGTAATTTGCAGCAGATGTAAATGCTTGATATTAGTTTTTTTCCTTGTTCCTTCCAATTTATTCTCAAATGTTTCTTTTGTAATTTCTTTTTGTAAATTCTGACATACAATTAGTCCAGCAATATATGGATTTAGTGACTGAATAAAATCATTAGATTTATGTTATCTATGCTTCCATAGAATCACTTCTTTATTCCAAATGGTCTCCCAGTATGAATAAATCTATACTATTGAGTTGACTCCTCGCTGCCCTTGCAGCACTATGGGCTACAGTAGAGTAGTAGACACACATAGGCCTTGGGGACGTTGGGCTATATCAACTATTTTATGTTCCTTCTATTTTTTTTTTAAAAAAATACTTTCCTTCTAGTTCCTCAAGCCATTTCTTTTCTAAACGGTGAACGCATAGTTGTCATGAACTATATTCTAATAACTCTTTTGTTTATGTAGTGAGAACACCAAATCTGCTCTCCAGTCATCAGCATATGTAAATTTGCACTGCAAGGACTATATCAAGTTCACAAAAGATATTTCTTCTCTTAGTCAGCGAGTACTGCTGTCTGGTCCGGCAGGTACATACTGTATGCATTCTGTAGGCTTGGTGTTATTGTATTGTATAATGCTACTATTTTTTTCCAATGATTAATTTAATTTTACTATGTGTAAAGTGTGGTAACATATGTTTTTACAGGAACCGATATCTACCAACAATATCTGGTTAAGGCACTTGCAAAACACTTTGGTGCTAGGTTGCTCACCATAGACTCTTCCATGCTATTTGGTGTAAGCTTCTTAGCAATTATACCTTTTTTTTCATTTATGTTAGCCAAGAATTTTTTTTATGAACTTTTTATCTGTATTCTTATTGGAATTATTGTTGTTATTTCTTTTTGTTGTACCTGTGCCATTCAACCAATGTTGGTGTTCTTACTTGCTGGCCTTTTTGAGCAAAAAAATTGTAAACACTTGTTTTGGTATGGTATGAATTTAAGTAATAAAGACTCTGAGCATTATTTTTCTTATTTCAGGGGAAGACTACCAAGGAATCAGATTCATACAAAAAGGGTAAGGACATACATAATACATTGTTGCCTTGTACTGAGTTTCAACTCACAACCCTAGTTATGTTCTTTCCAAAGATAGGCCATCGACATTGTTGTATTGCAAGTTTATGGCTGAGCGTTAGTAGTAATGCGAGTATAATGAACTTATTATTCTTGTCAAACTGGTCAAGCGAGTGTGGGTCATTTGTTGATCTTCAGATGTTCTTTTTTTTTCAGGTGATAGAGTGCGGTACATTGGTTCGTTACAGTCAACAGGTATTATCCTTGATGGAGAAAGGTATGATAATTTTTTTAATATTTATTTATTCTCTATGTACTTCATAATATTTGTAGTCATAAGCTTGTCTTAGCTGCCTGTTTCTTTGTAAAACAACACAAAATAAATGGGTTCTCACTTTTGCATGATTTATCCTTGTGAAGCTTCCTGAGATGTGGCCTATTGTCTAAAAAAAGCTTCATTAGTTTTGCAAAGATGTGTGGCAGTTAGTCTGCTCTAAGGAAATAAACTTCTTATGGTTGTTATAATGTGCTCTTACATATTGCTGCTGGCTGATGTTTAATTGTTTACTCTGTAGTCCTCCAGATTTTGGTTCACAAGGTGAAATATGTCTTCCTTTCGAAGAGAATAGATCATCAAAGGTTGGAGTAAGATTTGATGAACAAATTCCGGGAGGTATTGATCTAGGAGGCAATTGTGAAGTTGATCATGGTTTATTTTGTTCAGGTGATTCCTCGCTCTGTTGATAAGTTTTGAAGAACTGCCAGTAAATTACATTGTTCTCCTTCTTTTTAACTATTATGTTTACTGCTACCCTTCAATTGATTCATGCTTGATATGACTTTCTTACCTACTATTCTTTCAGTTGATTCTTTATGCCTCGATGCTCCAGGATGGGAAATTAGATCGAAACACCCATTTGATGTCATTATTCAGGTTCGTGCATCTGTATATTTTAGTCATGATTTATGTAAATGATATTTTGCTTCCTTTTACTAACTTTGTTTGCTCCATAGTTTATCTCTGAAGAAATCGAGCATGGTCCTCTAGTCTTATTTTTGAAGGACACAGAAAGAATTTGTGGGAATAATGATTCCTATCGTGCTCTCAAGAGCAAGCTTCAATATTTCCCAGCAGGTGCTTTTATTATTGGTTCTCATGTACATCCTGATGATCACAAAGAGAAGGTACTGTTTGTAATTTTATGGTATAGTCTACAAATGCTCCTAACTGTATTATGTGGTTGATTTATCATTTATGGCTAATGGGCATACTTCTACATGCAGGCAAATGCCAGTTCTCTACTTCTTTCAAAGTTCCCATACAGCCAAGCAATACTTGACTTTGCATTTCAGGTAGTTTTAATTATACTGCTGTTGCGTCCTTGTTGTAGTTATATCGTACGTGATAATTATTAAAATATTAGAAATAATAACTCGGTTTTTTATCATTTTAATTAATGCCTCGGGTTCAACATGCATCTTCCTTGGGTATTGTTCATGTCCTCTTCATATTGTTACGTGCATCAAATCTGCTTTCAGTTGTCAGAGAATAGACTTTTTGATACATTTTTGTAATAAGCTTATGTTTTAGGCAAACTTGTGGGTCTTTCTGATTGTTGATTTGTTCCAATTACTGCAAAGTATTGCAGGAGATTCATGACGAATGATCACTTCATTGACTGAACACTATTTATCAGTAGTTTAGGTACCTTAATGAACTTCATGCATGATCTTAGGGGTATCTGCTTCCTACTATTATGTGAACCATGAGAAATTTTGTTTCTCTGTGGTTTCATTGTACATAGCTGTTGAACTCAAGTAATCATATTAGTCATGTCCCTATTCCTGCAGTGATGGAATATGTCTCTTGGTGATAGGCTCTTGGCTTCTTGGCCGAGCGATTTTTTTAAGCACTTTGGACACCCATGTAGGAATGTACATTTCTAGAAGTTCGTGACACTCATTATTTTTTATTTCGCAGAATATTACATGATTTTATGTGTATAATGCCCGAATCATAAAAGTTAGCACCTGAACTTGCATGTGCTCCGGTGCATGAAAACATCTAGTTACTATAGTCTTTCAGTTGCCTTCTCCTGAATGCATGCATGCGTACATCTATTAAAGGTGCTATACTATCTAGGTTTTGTCCCGTAATGTTTGAATCTGAGCATGCATTCAATCAAATCAGGTTGTGCATGACCAATCAGCAGGCACCTGTATATTGCTACCAGCCAGTGGTTATTCGTTATGGATCCCATGGTTATTCATGAGAAAGTGTTGTATTTTCACAATAGCTATTTGACCCGGTATCATCCATCATGCTGATATATTTCTAGTTCAATATTTCTTCCCCCCCCCCCAAAAAAAAAAAATCTGATTTGATAAAGTTTTGACCATTACAATTGTGATATCTTCTTAGCATGCATATATTTTGATTTGGAACATGTGACGTGATTTATTTTGCTACCATGAATTAACACAAGGGAATGCAGGACTTTGATCGTGGAACTGATAAGAATAAAGAAACTTCAAAGGCGACGAAGCATCTAACTAAGCTTTTCCCAAATAAAGTGACGATCCAGCCACCAAAAGTATGTTCTATTCATACTAGTAAAAAAGGACAGTTAACTTGCAGCAGTTTCTCTGACTTTTTTTTTCTATTTTTTAAATCTGGAAAAAATGTTACAGGATGAAATTGAGCGCTCGAAGTGGAACCAGATGCTAGATCGAGATGTTGAAATTCTTAAAGGAAATGCTAACATTTCAAAAATTCGCTCTGTAAGTTCTAATTCTCATTTTCGATACAATTATTTGCATTTGTAACCCTGTGGTTGGCATAGCTGTCCTGTTTGCTGCATTTTTTTTTAATTTAATGTCTTTGTGCTCTAGGATAAATGTAAACATACAGTGCATGCCTTAGCAGTTGGCTATTATTTATGTTGCATATTCAGAAGCTTGTATGTGCATGGGGGAACTGCAGCTTAAAGGCACAAAAGCAACAGCTGATTTTGAATTTTACAATTTGATTTTAGGATTAATTTTACGGGTTTGCTTCACCATTTTCATTTCCTGGCTCTCTTTTCATGATTGCTAAGAAGACAAGTAAAAAATCTTCGTGAAATTATTCTTAAATAAATTTCAAATTTAAAAAAAATGGCTTTGGCTTTGAAGAAAAAGTCAACATTGTTGTTAACTAAATGCTTTGCTATCTTATTTCACCTCTACATTTATGCCAAGTATAAACACATGGATACTCCATGAATAATTAGAGAAAAATGTGAACTTTGTGTTTGAGGAAAAAATTGAACTTTTAATTAGATTACACTATCCTGAGTTGAGGAAATTGGTATTTTGAAGTGTATCGTCATGATTTATTTCTATAGCATGCTACCTGGTTGACCACGGTTTCTTCATTGGCTTGTCATTCCCTCGGGCTTAGTTTCTTATTCTTCAATCAGAATTGCATCTTATGTATGAATGAATTTTGCAATTTCCTTTTCAGTTTCTATTAAAGATGGGCTTGGAAAGCAGTGATCTTGAAACAGTATGTGTTAAGGATCGTCTCCTAACAAACGAATGTGAGTAGCATTCCTATTCATCTTTCTTCTATATTGCAAATTTCAATAAACATGATGGGTGCACTGTTATTTTTCAGGTATTGATAAAATAGTTGGTTTTGCTTTGAGTCATCAACTTAAGCACTCTACAATTCCAGACCCTTCGAGTGATGTTCGTTTCACTCTATCTAGTGAAAGGTTCACTCTAATCTTTATTTCTTCTCCACAATGCCAACAAAGTTCTCTTTATCCAGTGCATCAATGTGTATATTGTCCACTGCAGTCTTAAGCATGGTGTTGACATGTTGGAAAGTGTGGAATCTAACCCTAAGAGCAGCAACATAAGGAAGTCGCTCAAGGTGATATACTTTGTATTAGTGTATCTATTTTGACACTAGTTTATTCTACACCTTGGGAATAGTGTTATAGCTCCGAAATGGCTATTGCAACTGTAGCACTGAGAGCCTGAGACCAGTCTTCTTCACCTTCTCTGGTCAATGCATGCCTGAACGTGTAGTGTTGCAGCATTATATCTTTTAAAATGCATGGAGCTTATGAATCTTGCTATAACAATTTCAGGATATTGCTACTGAGAATGAATTTGAAAAGCGACTTCTTGCTGATGTTATACCCCCGGACGAAATAGGTGTCACCTTTGAGGACATTGGGGCATTGGAAAGTGTCAAGGAAACTCTTAAGGAGTTAGTGATGCTACCTTTGCAAAGGCCTGAATTGTTTTCCAGAGGTCAACTTATGAAGGTAGATAGTATCCTCCATATTGCATAGTTTTCACCATAATATTCTTTAGGAGGTATTGTGTATTCATTTATATTCTGCTCCAGTATGAACTTGTCCCCTGTTGGACTCAGATAAACTTCAGTTAGTCAGTAGCAGATGCTGAAATCTTGATATAGTCACATAGCTTTTGATCAATTTGGAGTTGGTCATGACAATTTCCTACCTTTTCTTTATTGGGACCTATCCATTTTATAAACCTAATGGCAATTCATGCCAAATTGGATTGGAACAAGGATAAGATATGATTTATTGTTGCAAGTTGGTTATGAATGGATGGGGGTACTACTTTTGGATAGTGGAATTTTTTATTTCCATTTTATTTGATAGTGAACTGACTTTTGTTATTGCTTATGTTGTGCCAGCCATGTAAAGGAATATTACTTTTTGGCCCGCCTGGTACAGGAAAGACAATGCTTGCCAAAGCTGTGGCTACAGAGGCTGGTGCGAATTTCATAAATATATCAATGTCGAGCATCTCTTCAAAGGTATTTTACTAAATGATTGCTATTAGTCCATGGTTTTGTTTTTGCATTTTGGGCATCTGAAACATTGTGTACCATTACCACAGTGGTTTGGTGAAGGAGAGAAGTTTGTGAAAGCTGTATTTTCACTGGCAAGCAAAATTGCTCCAAGTGTTATTTTCGTGGATGAGGTAAGTAAATTGTAATTGATCAATCACAACGCCTTTCTGAATTCCCTGTGATGTTTGCTTTCTAGTTTATCTTCTTCATCTTGTGTTGTATAGGTTGATGGCATGTTGGGTAGGCGTGAAAACCCTGGAGAACATGAAGCAATGCGTAAAATGAAAAATGAGTTTATGGTGAACTGGGATGGTCTAAGAACAAAAGATAAAGAGCGTGTATTAGTACTTGCTGCAACTAATAGGCCATTTGACCTTGATGAGGCTGTTGTTAGGAGGCTTCCTAGGCGGTGAGTATCATATTTTTCATTCATTTTAAGATTTGAACTGTGGTGCTAATTTTATGATTTTTAGATAATTGACTTGACTATGCATGTGTTTTGGTATATGTATTGCTTAGGTTGATGGTGAATTTGCCGGATGCATCAAATAGAAGAAAAATTCTTAGCGTGATACTAGCTAAAGAAGATTTGGCAGATGATGTCGATCTTGAAGCTGTAGCTAGCTTGACTGAAGGGTATTCTGGCAGTGATCTCAAGGTACTACTGTTGCATTCATAGAAGTAGTTCCACTGCTGTGATATTGATTCCTCAAATTGAATGTTGCTTGTTGAGTTGACTCCTGGCCGTAATCATTTTTCAGAATCTATGTATTACTGCTGCTCATCTCCCTATTAAAGATATCCTTGAAAAGGAGAAGAAGGTTAGTTTTTAACCTCCACTTTTATATTTGTTTTTCCTAGTATATGTATACCTTGGGGTTTCAATAAATATTTATTGGATTAGTGATGAAATCAGTGGATTTAATATACTGAGGGATGATCACATAAATTAAATATTTAATATGAACCGCAATTTAACTTCACATGTGCTGTCCACATGCAGGAGAAAGCTTTAGCAGAGGCAGAAAATAGGCCGCTGCCCCAATCATTTTCAAGTAACGATGTCCGTGCCTTACGACTAAGTGATTTCAAACATGCTCATGAACAGGTATGATCCATAATAAATAAGAACTTGCTTTCAAGTACTCGTGCTGTGATGTACATACATACTACCATGATTTTTCTTGTTAAATGCCTGAATCAAGAATTTCAAGAAAAAAGAGTAAACCTCAGTTTTTTTTAATTATTTAATGGTTTGCAAAAAGTAAGAGATAGACGAACCACGGGAATCTGTATTTCTTGACTTTCTAGAGCAGAGGTTTTATGACACCATGAATATTATAACATGTGCAAAGCATCCTGGCTGCTGTCTTAAGTTGAAACCCTTCACGGGCAACCAAACGGGGGAAACAAGTATCTTTCAGGTATGGCAGGGGCAGCGATGATCCTCCATCCCCTGTCCCTGTTTCCTGCGGAGACCCAATTAACGGGCATAGGGGGCCAGATGTAATGCAACTTATGCATGTCTAAAAGTCCAATTGTGCCATGTTTAGTGGATGAATAACAATAGTGTCCTTGTCATGTACTCCATAGATTAGTAGATATATAGCATATATTAATATAAAGTGTGGAGGTTATTTATTAATTACGTATATGATTAGAGGTGTGAGTGGTTTTTTTAAGTGGGGACGGGGGGCCACGGGGATTAATTCCCCGCACAGAGGCGGGGATGGGGAAACTTCTCTGCGGGGGGTTGGAATGGGATGTATTCCCCGGTGGGGAATACCCTGTTGCCATCTCTAGTACTGGGTTGTAAGAATTCAGAATAATCAGCAACCATTCTTAACTCCGAAAAAAAAAGGAGTACGAAAACTAGTTGTAAATTATGCAATTTATAACCAGCAGTTGTTATCCATGATCATTGAAATACATTATGTTGCTAACTTTGTATGTTTGTTATAGGTCTGTGCAAGTGTGTCTTCGGATTCAACTAACATGAATGAACTTATTCAATGGAATGATCTTTATGGAGAAGGTGGATCAAGGAAAAAGACTACTCTAAGCTACTTCATGTAGCTGAAGTTCATTCCAATGTACATATATATCAGAAGCATTAGGACAAACAATGGTGATTGGAGGCAAAAGTTTTGCAGATTCACTACAGTAAAAAAAGAACTGTACTATCTGCTAGACATCAGAAGAATTAACAACAGTTCATATCGAGGCGGATGGGATAAGACATTCAATCGTCGCCATGGTGTGGGCTGTCGATTTTGGCGAAAGAGGAAGATGGGATTCGGGATGTGGCTTACAAATTGCCTGCTGTGGTGGACCTGGGGGTAGTGACGGCAACATATCACCATCCGCAAAAATAGATTACATTTCTAGTCCCCATAGTCAGGTCAGGCAGCCAGTTCCGAGAATGACATCTCTTACCGGGCCGGTTGGTTCACCGTCATTTTTCTCATTTCGTGACAGCGATTCAAATTTTTTTAGGTTAAAGTTGTGCCTGTGCAATTGTACAGTATGAGCATCCAGGCCAATTAACTTGTTATTGCGGTCACCGCAAAATTCATTTTAAACATGTCCGTTGTTACTCCATTTGTCGACTGTCTACCAGGTTTTGGTACTGCCCCTTTACTGATCATAATATTATATATGGAGATGCGGGTTACCATTATCGATTCACCTCCTGTTGAATAGAGCCTGGCCTCCTGCTTGCCCTCATGGATGTATGGGAAAATTGCACGAGTTGTTCTTTGGAACGCAGGAATTTTTTAGGATTTTCGCGAGGAACAGTTTAGTTTCTCTAAATTCTCGTGAAAATCCTCTAAACCGAGTACGAGTTATTTGAGCTAATTCATGCGGCGTGATCTATGAGTTGTGTTATGTTTTACCATGGGAAATGGATGGGTACTGTTATCCGGGCTGTGTTTTCAGATGTGTTCGGCTGTACTGCGTGTCCTCTTTGGATCCACAGAGATCCTCTAACTTACTTTTCTCTAACTCGTGTCACTGACATATAGGCCTCTCTAACTTGTGTCCGGGTTCACATATTAGTGACTCAAAGTCAGAGGAAAGTAAGTCAGAGAAGTAAGTCAGAGAATCCTCTTCTATGCTCTGTTGTTACTGTTCTTCGACTTGCCTTCCAACAATTCACCAAAAAAAAATCCCTTGCTTTTCAACTAGTGAGCCATTCGTGCAACTACGAAGCTGTGATATCATGTACAACTATTTTCTTTTCCTTTTGCATGTACAAGTAGAATTATATGGGAGGTGTGAAAAATGATCGGTATATATATTATCTCCATATATATAGATGTCTTAATATCTCCAATCCAATTACCATATGTGCAAGTTTTTAGAGCAAAATGTTTGCAGTAATTAAGCATCCAAATCTCAAGCTCTCGTTCGATCTTGAGCAAGAACACCTGAGCGATCGAAATCTCCAATCCTCTAAAAATTGCCAAAAGGGGGAGAAAAGCAAGATCATAGATGGCTAATTACACACCAAAACTATCCCTGATACATCATCAAGAAGCAAAATCCCCGCTCAAAAACTACCACTAATCATGTACATTATGAGCAAATTAGTAAAACAGGAAAAACAAATAATCCTTCTAGCATATGCAATATGTACAGGTAGTGTTTGAGAACTTCTGCTGTAGCGCGCTTCTCTCGTAAATTTCGGCTCTAGATTCTATAAATACATAGCTATATAATCGAGAAAATTAAATAGAAGCCAGAAACTGAATTTCCTAGCCCTCGAAAGTTGGTTGGTTGGTAAATTCTCCTAAAGCTAGCTACCAATCATGATGCAGGAGCAGGAGGGACAGGATGAGGGAGCGGTCTACGTTGGGCTCCACCAGCAGCGTCAGCACGTCGTCGCCGAGCGCCACGCCGCCCGCCGTCGTCTTCCTCCTCACCTCCGCCACCGCCGCGCCCGTCGCCCCGTCCACGATCCTCGCCGCGCGCGCCGCCTCCCGCAGCCTCCCCTCCATCCTGTACCGCTGCACGGCCCGCCCGTCGTCGCTCCTGAACTCGCACCGGGGGCCCCCGCCGCCGCGCCACGCCTCGCTCGCCGCCTTGAACCACGGCCGCTGCTCGCCGCCGGCGCCGCCGCCGCGGCACGGGCGGTAGCCGTCCCACCTCCCGACCAGGTGCCCCAGCCTCGCCTTGCTGAGGATCTGGACGACGACGTTGCCGGCGAGGTCCATGAGGCAGACGTCGGCGGCGCGGCGGGAGCCGTAGTTGTCGACGCGGTAGACGATGCGGCCGCCGGAGTCGTACACGGTGCACCCGCTGCCGTTGAGCACCAGCGACTTCATCCAGATGGTGAACACCTCCCGCTGCTCGCTCCAGTGCCGTCTAGCTGTCGTACTCGCCGCCGCCGCCGGAGGAGCACCGGCGGCCTCTTCCAGCTGCTCCGCCGGCGCCGGCGACGGCGGCGACGAACAGGAGGAGTGCACCCTCACCATTGCTCTCCAGAGTTTAACGCTAGGCAGCCGCAGCATCACCATCGTTGTGCTAGCTAGCTTACAAAGGAAGAAGGGATTAGCTAGTAGCTAATTAATTAGCTATAGCTAGTAGGAGATTATTACATGCTAATTGCATGGTTAGTACTGGGAAGCTTACATATATGGATGCACAGTGAAGAAGAGCTGAAGAGGTCACAAGTTTCTTTCTTTCTTTTTTTCAAGGAATGAGGGCCAGCCATGTTGACAAATACCGATGTGTCCATTTTGAGAGCTACCTCATTCGTTCAAAAATGAATGCCTGTTTTGAAACCATATTTTTATAAAATAGCCTAATTATTTAATATCAAAGTTGTATTATATATTAGATTTGCAACCTTACATTGAAAAGTATTTGATTTGACGTTGCTTAAAAACTTGATTCACTTCTAGTTAAAACCTAACATGTATTTGTGAACAGAGGGAACTTTATTTGTATATTACTAGTATTTAATTGAACCCATCAGCTGAGTTAAACTTTATTCAATTAAGCCATGCTTATCAAGTAGGAATTAGTCAATGTTTTATTTGGGGTTGTCTGCATGCATGCATGAGCTTCCAAATGCAATCGTTATTTGTGCTGTGGTTTCTTATTTGGGTGATTTGATGTGAGCGATGAAGAAAGCTCCGGATCGAGTCCGGTCAGGGAAATATGCTGCTAATTAATTGATTGTTATACAGTTATTATTTGTTTTACATTCAACAAGTACAACTTCGAGTCATCTACAGAGAATATTAGCTCCATGATTATGTAGTAGTATTAGCTAGCATTGCACGCAATTCTGATTTGGTTTTTGCATTTCATTGTCCGATCGATCGACAGGCACCAAATTGTGCTCGCCGGCCCCACTAAATAATGCGATGCATGCACACGTATAGGATGATTTGCTCCTGTAAGAAAGATATGTTTCTCCTCATGCTCCTCCGCTTTTTAATAGATAGATGACAGTGTTGACGTTTTAACACATGTTTTACCATTCATTTTATTTAAAAATTTTATGCAAATGTATAAGATATAAATTATGCTTAAAATACTTCGAGTGATAGAACAAACTAAATTATAATTACGTATTTTTTTAATAAGACGAATGATTTATGATAAAAGTATTATCTATTAAAAAAAGAGGTATTATTAGTTTGATGAAAAATCATTTATAACGCCAGCTAGCAATTTTGTAGCCTGTAGTGTGGTGTTGGCCCAACCAAAAGTGCTGTGGTAATATGTGGTTCAGTATCACCTTGAAAATTTAGGTGGGTGATGATCAGGATATACAATGATGTTTATTTTTTCGAAACATAGAACAGACGTATGTGCTCTTATATATATGATGTACACTCATCAAGCGTATTCACGTACTTCTTATTCTTACAAGCACCTTTGAATACTAAGTCGGTATATTTTGAGATTAACGAAGTTATCATAAATATCTCAGTGTGAATGTCGCTTACCACTGAAAGAAAAATATCAGTAAATGCGAGTATTCTCTTTACTACCATATGCATTTGGTTTGCTTAGTCCTCGATGCATTTTGTTTGCTGGTATTTTGGATGTGGCTTGGATATCATAAAAATTGTGATACGATCGTGGAGTGGAATACTGATTGTGAGTTGTGACTACTAATATGCCAATCATCGTCACCATGGCCTGACAACTCTAAAAAAAAACTTTGGGTGTCATTGTGATCCTTGAATACAAACACTCAACTTTAGCTCTTCATGCAGCTTACTTAACATTCCCTAAATGCAAGCAGAATGCGACAAAGAGTTAAAACCAATGGTCAAAAACAAAAGTTTTAACTTAGACAAACACATTCAGTTTAAGTAGCTAGGACGGTGTGTGCTTATGTCACATCTTAACAAACTATTAGTACTTTGGTGAGATAAGACCATGAAAAAGTACATCCTGAAAAAGTGAAGCTTACCATGAAAAAGTACATCCTGGAGGGGATCTCTGCACTTTTGCACCATTAAATACCATGAAAAAGTGAAGCTCACTTTCGATCCGGAACACAGGATAATGACAATAATTAAGCATGCAATCAAACCGTACTGTGACCTAATTAAGATGGTAATTTAATTAGGTCCTATTGTGATCCATGCCGTCATCACATACATACTCATGCAATTGAGTAATGTGCAATCTGATGTGCAGAAGAAGAACCTAATCACAATTAAACTCAATTTTCCTTTTGTTGGCTGACGCATTGCTCCTTTTGTATTCACATGCTTACGTCTAATTAATGAATACAATTTTCAGTTCGTTCAATGTCATTTTGTGTCTTTTTTTTTCTCTACCTCCGTACAATGAGCCCTGCGAATAAATTGACATGGTGCAAATGCACAGTTTATAGCACAAATTAAGACACAACTTAAGCATGGTTTTAGCTTAGATTTAAGTGCGGATTATGAGGCAGCAAACAATCCAATATCGTCTAATCGACAATGGAAGAAATGTGACAAGACTGTTGAGAGGCCAAGAGCTCAAACCTTGAACTGACAGGAAATAGGCTGTTCAGACTTCAGAGAACAGAGACATGAAAAAATAACGGTGAGTTGTTGACTTCAAAGCTTCACATAGAGATAAATGACTCCAGTGACAGGTGATTATTTACTTAAGTGCTATCAGTTGGTTCTATCAGCCAGCTGCTACACCAATTAGCACAGAAAGGTGAGCTACAAAATTTACTTTTCTTACCAACCAATCAGAACAAATTTCTGAACAGAACCGATTGCACCAAGCAGGGAGAGAAACTTATTAATCAAAGATACTTCATGGCAAAAAGTTTAATCGGCTTGTAGTGACCCCCGCGTTGCTCTCGTGCGGGCGGCTCGGGGGCGAAACCCTAGCCGCCCGCGCCGCCACACCCTCATCCCCCTCCTCCACCTCGCCGCCGCCGGAGCTCGCCGGCGGCGTGCCGGGAAGGCGGCGGCGAGGCCCAAACGGCTCGGCGGAACCGGCCCCTGCGCGAGGAGAATGGAGAACACCGACGATGGCGAGGCCAGAGGTGGAGACGGCGGTTCGGCTTGGGGCGGCGGATCCGGCGCCCTGTGGCCGGATCTGGCCTCTCCACCCGCGGATCCGGTCGGCGCGGTGAGCGGCGCGACGGAGGCAGAGCGGGCGGCGAGCGGCTCGTGCATGCCCTGCCGGCGCGGCGAGTGGCGCAGGCGTGCCTTGCCGGCGCGGCGGGCGGCGAGACGGGCAGCGCGACGAACGTGGAGTGGGCGGCGGGCGGCGCAACACGGGCCCCGGCCAGCGAGGCAGCCTGGCGCGGTGGCGGCGCGGGTTGGGGCTGCGGCGACGGCGCCTGCTCCTGCTCTGCCTCGTGCCCCCGCCCGGTGTCGTTGTCGGATGGCGTGTAGGAGGAAGGCGAGGCCGGCGGCCAGGGCGAGGCGGCGGCCGGTGGTGTGCGAGGTGGTGTTGGCCGGACACGCGGCCATGGCCCGATGGCCGGTGGCGTGAGGCTGTGGAGGTGCTGCGCGAGGAGGAAGCCGGTGGTGGTGACCGGGTCATCAGGTGGCTGGCTGCCATTGGTGACCTCAGTGGCTTACGGCAGCACGCAGGAAGCGGTTTGGCAGTGAAGAGTTCATCCTCTGTATTGCCAGCTTGACCTGCGGGGTGGTAGACTGAGCTTGGGTGTTAAAGGGATGGCGTGGTGGTCTAGCGATGGTCGTTGTGCAGGATGGTTGTGTGGGGTTTTGATGGGAAACCACTGGCGAAAGCCTTGCCAGGCCATGGGCCGGCATGATGACGGCGACGCCATTTGGCGCCGTTCTCCTCCTTGGAGGTGTCGTCCTGGCGTTGACCCCTCATAACACCAAGAACCCTCTGCGCGCAATGGTAGCCTTGGTGGACTCCTGCAATGTCCCCGAAGCTCTTCAGGTCTAGGGTGTTTGACGAGGCCTCACTTCCTTGGCTTCGTTCCTTGCTACAGCGGGTGTTCATCACTCTTATCTGTTTACTGGGGGGTAGAGTCGGAGCTGCTTTGCTGGGGCGATGAAGCTTGGCAACGATGACACACTGCAATCTCTTTATAGGATTGTTGATGCTAGCTGTGTGTAGGAGTGGTTCCTTGGTAGCTTAGGCTGATGTCCTTCGTGGGTGTCGTTCTTGTTTGTTCATTTTGGCGTTGGGGTAGCATCGCATTGAAGTCGAAGCTGCTATGTCACTTGTGTGGCAAGCTTGGCAACGATAACATGTGTAGGCTGCCGTGTCGTCTCAAATGGCAAGCTTGGCCGATGCCTTGTATCGGGCTCCGTCGTGGTAGATTAGGATAGGTTAGCTGTTAGTGTGGTGTTGTAGTTGTGGTTTTCGCTCAGTTTTCCCTAATTAACTGAGCACTGTAAGGTTTGATCCCGTTTTCTCCTCAAAATGGGATATCTTCTTCTTAATATAAAACGTCGGCAATGGTCTGACCGTTCGGAAAAAAAAGATACTTCATGGCGGCAATACTCTATCCATAAAAACAAGTGGCGTCTCTGTCTAAGTACGTACGTTAGATTCAGACATAATTACTGTGGCCCAGGCCCGGGATATTTCCAGTTCAACACAAAGTCACAGCACTGGTAATATTAATTCTGGGAGTCTAGCGCACGGTACGAGTGAAGCAAAAAAATATTTTACCCAGTTCTTGCTAGGTCAGCAGCAAAAAAATGTTGTTCTGAATTCTGAAAGAAAAATGTTAGTAGTACTTTTAATCACAGAGTAAGGAAGATTAAAGAAAATCACAGGAGTCAGGAGTGTACTCTAATGGCCAGAACTTGCAGGTAGTACAAACTGGTGTGGCCTTGTGGCCCAAAGAGAGTTGCTGGGCTAGCTGGTGTGTGAATCCATTGAAATGAATTAAAATTTCTTTCTCAAATAACCAATTAAAAGTTTAGATTTCAAAACTGTGTAAGAGTAGACGAAACTTAATACACTTTTAGTTACATGTGGCTACCTCAATATGTTCCTTCGCAACAGGTAGTCACAATTAACAAACCATACTTTTTGTATGTTAGCTGTGTCCTTCGTAATATACTTTATTTGCATACTAGTATTTAAGCGAGATATTTTATTAGTCTTACAGAAGTACATGTATTGCAAGTGTTAACTGATGTTTTGCGCTAGTTCAGCATGTGAATGTTACTGTTAGGTGAGAGAGATAATTTGTTCGATACTATTGAAAGAAAAATATGAGTGGTAAAGCACGATCATAAAAAAATAAGTAAATTTTATAAAACCTTAGTGCTTGAGCTAATCCAGGATGGGGAATCACACAGTGCTTGAGCTGTAGTAAGCAGGGGTATTTTGGTCCATACTAAAATACAACACATGTAAAACGATCCAAAACATGTATTTAAGTGTATAGGATGGTATGCACCCAATTTTGAGAGAGGTGTAGTGGTATGCTTACAAATAGATAAATAGTAATGGTATTTTTCAAAACTAGCAAATTTGTAATGGTATGATTCAATTAATTCTAGATTAAAATATACTATCTCTCTCCTCTTGCTTATTCTCCGTAAGAGAACTATGGCATTTGGATGTAAATCTTTTTGGAGTGTGGGTCTTATCTTAATATTAATTACTATCTATATACATTGTGAAAAATGAGAACAACAAAAGATCAATGTCATGTGGGTCCTATCTGTATAGACTACTTGATCTATATCCATATACATCTGTACTTGTTCGTATAAAATGGTAATATCATATTCCACGTTCTTTATCATGGCATTGGCCAAATTTGCTCAAAATAAATTATACCTAGCATGTTGAGTTGGTCTTATCGAGTACTCCAGTCATATTCAGCCCTAGGTTTATGTTGAGTTGGTCTTATCGAGTACTCCAGTCATATTCAGCCCTAGGTTTATTTTTTATGGACAGATGGTTAGCCCAATGCCCCGCCATCGCGGACTCCAATGATAAAATATCCTCTTCTTCCTGTAAAAAAACAAAAAAAACTAATTTCAACCTACAATCCCTTTTAATTTCAAAAGAAATCAGAGCAAAAGAGCATAGTATGCTCGTAGTATCTCAATTAATTTCTGAATATTTGGAGGGATTACAGTTAAACCAGTCTCCTCGTCTTCTCTCCTCCCCTCCCGCTTGGAGCTTTCCGCTGCTCAAACCCCCGCCGCGCCAACCTAGGGCATGCTCCCAACCCCCATGGCCCTAGCCCTAGCCCTAGCCCTATCCCCCTCCTCCTCCTCGCCATGACCGCCCTCGCCTCCCCCTTCCTCCTCCCCCACCGCCGCCGGAAGCGCCCCCTCGACGATTCCCACTTCCACGGCCCGCAGCGCCACCGCCGCCGCCGCCTCTGCCTCTGCCCGGCGGCCTTCCCCTCCCCGCCGATCCCGCCCGAGGCGGCGTCGTCCCCCGCGTTCGACATGGGGGGCTTCCTCTCCTTCCTCCGGGGTAAACCTAGGCACGACGATGCCGGCCTCGGGGTGTACAGGGGCTGGGTCGACGTCCGGTCGCGGGATCTCTCGGTGGCCACCGCCATGGAAGACGACGACGCGGGGTTTGGCCCCCGGTTGGTGGTGAGGCGGAGGGTCGGGGACCCGAGGAAGGCCGCCCTGGAGGCCGCGGCGCCGCGTCCGCGGGTGAAGAGGGAGCCGTACTACAAGGAGGCGCTCGAGAGGATGAGGAGCCACGACAAGAGGCTGGGCGAGCTCGCTTCACTGGTGAATCTAGAAGAGGAGAAACTCGCCGAGCTGCGGAAGGCGGCTGAGCCACCCAAGGAGGTATCGATATCGTTACGTTTACCATTCCTTTGTTTTTATGTTATATTATTTTCATAGTTGGTGAATGTGAAGATCACAACTCACTAGTGGTAAAGTGTGCGTATTGCGTTGAAGTGAATTAATGGAGGTTCATTGTAATGAGAGCTTCGGGGCATAGCTACATAATTGAGTTCTTGAACTTTTTCAAGTTTAAAGTTTGGACAATTTTAGGCTTCCTAGTATCGCTCGCCCTAAATAGATGTTTTGAATTGTCAAAAAAAGAGAGAGAGGGGCAAGCAAGGATGTCTTGACACAATGTGGATTCTAGAGTCGATTCTCCTTTTGAGTGCTTGCGAATTCACAAGATATGCATTTGAATGTAGAGTTTAATTGGGGGAAAGTATATTCCTTTGTTGATTAACCTTTCTTAGTTGTTGCTCTATATCAACCTTTTATGCTTTTGCTCACTGTCGGTTTCTGCATGTTGATCTTTCACTACTCCAGGACCTGTCTGAACTCTTTACACCTCTAACTGCTGAAGAGGAAAATGAAGTTCATAATTGTTTGTTTGGTAGGGGTTCAAGGTACCTTTGATGACCCTGCTGCATGTTGTTTGTAGCTTCTATGTTTGTTGCTATAACAATTGATCATCACTCTTTTGTCCTTACAGTACTGAAATCCTAGCACTGCATGAGCCCTCCAACATTGAAGTTAGCAGAGAGAAGTTCCGGTGCTTGAGACTGACTGCCTGGTTAAATGATGAGGTAACTATCTATCTTGAATATACTTATATATGAAACAAACTCCACTAGTATCTATGGTTTACTTCCTTTTTTTAAAAAAAAGATTGATGGTTTACATGGACCGGCGATGACCCTGCCCATATTATCTTACGTAATGAGGGCATGTATTCCTCTTACATGCAGGTCATTAATTTGTACCTTGAATTATTGAAGGAGAGAGAGGCAAGAGAACCAAAAAGGTTTTTGAAATGCCATTTCTTTAATACATTTTTTTATAAGAAGGTTAGATCATAAGCTTCTTTTGCTTTCACGTATTCTATCTTCGTATTCATATTAAATGTTCTTATCGTCTCTGTACTTTATAACTTTTTTTAGCATTTCTGGTGTATTATTGGTTTATAAGGATTTGGTGCAATGAACTTATGAGTGTTCAAATATGATATCACTGTAGGAACATTTATATTATATTTCAGTTGTGTTATTAATTTATGGACATTTTTAGAGTTTTTCCCTCAGGAGGTATATAGGTAATAACTGTCCAGATATCTTCATGGGTTTCTCAGGTTAACATCATTACTGGCTTTGGAGCCTTAATTGGACACAAATACTCAATTAGCTTGTGTTTATGGCATATTAACTAATATGCTATTCATTTGGCTCATTTAGGTATATATTAATTCATCCATAGAAAATTATAGGGCATATTATATATTGAAAAGTCAAACTTTATAGATTCTGACCAACAATTACTCAAATCATAAATATATTTGGTGTATCAGAATTATACTGATAGATTCATATTTCTGAGAGCTTTTCATAAAATGTTGGTTGCGCAGATATTACGAATGTAATTTATGAGCAATCAATGGTTAAGCTCTTTTCCTAAAGATTTTTTTTTTAAAATATGATATGCCCTATATTTACTCTAGGAACAGTCAATAGCAGCATATGTTTGACTTCAGTCATACGACAACAGGATACAGTTCTAAACGGAGGGCTTAGTTCTCCATTTGCTTTTTTGGTTTTCTTAAGTTTTGTTATCACTTATTCGAGACATTTGTTGTGGAAATGGTAGACAGTTTTATGTTTTCAGTTTATCCTTGCTTCATTGTTCATTGAAGATTTCTAAAATATCACTCCATTCCAAAGGATGATGTTTGGAGAAATGCCACCCAAGTGTTAGCTTCGCAAAATACCATTACTTCTTCTCTTTGGGGGGCAGTATTGTGTTGGCCTGTTTGGTTAGGGATGGGAAATTCTAGGAAGTTCTTCATTTGCCTTCATCCACTCATTTGATATCCTTTTATTATGAATTTTACCATTTCATTTTCATTTGTGAATGCTGAATTGCTGATCACCAAGTAAATGCTAATCTTCATTGACTCCCTGAATTGTTGGTCGTTTGGTTCAGCTTGCTTGCGGAAAAAATGGCTATGACTACAAATCTGTTAAAAGATGGACTACCCGCAGGAGGTTGGGTTATGAGCTTATTGAGTGTGATAAAGTAAAGTATCTGTTGCATTCTTAGTCCTTCTGTTGTCACGGATGTTGGAACATGCTTATTTGTAATTATAAACTTATCCTCAGAATTTACTTTGCAGATCTTTGTCCCTGTACATAAAGATGTCCATTGGTGCTTAGCAGTTATAAACATGAAAGAAAGGACATTCCAATACCTTGATTCTCTTGGTTGTGTGGATCATCATGTACCAAGAGTGCTGGTAAACTTATAGCTGTAGAGAAAAAATACAACTGGGGCACTCAAAAAGTAGTACCCCCTTCTATTGCTATTTCCTGCATGGCATTTTATTTTTTTTAAAAAAAAGGTTGTTAAATGTGTTATGCTCTAGGGGAATTTGCATGTTCGTAGTTATTTCGGTGTTTCATTAATGTGTTGCTAAGCTTGTTTAATCCATCAAATACTTGCAGTTACAGATTTGAGTGGGCTTACCTGTATTTTATTGTGCATGCCACTCACAGGCTAGATATATTGCAGAGGAAGTGAAGGACAAGAGTAATAAAGAGATCGACACAAACACTTGGCACGAAGAGTTAGTTGATGATATTCCTTTGCAGCAAAATGGGTATGTATTGCATGTGCTAATGATTATTTCCTGCATAAATTCAGTATTATGGAACACAATCACTTTCAATAGCTTGAACCATGATTTGTTAGGTATTATCATGTGTTAAACCTTCAGCGGTTTTCTGTATGTTTTTTTAATCCATGTTTGGTTGGATGGCCATATGAAGAATTCATTTTGTAACATAAGCATTGGCACATTCATGAACATGTTACGATGGACAACAATATAGTTTTAGTTGACACAAGCATCGTATATTTGAACAGGTGGGACTGTGGTATGTTTATGCTCAAGTACATTGATTTCCACAGCAGAGGATTGAGCATGTCTTTTAGTCAGGTGAGTTGGATTCATTTAAGAAATTTGAGCAGAATATCCTCTGCCTCTGGGCTAGTGCCTTAACAATTTGGACTTAGCATGTGTTGTAGACTTCATTATGTAAATTTCTCGTGTGAGTACATAAGCTTGTTTCACAATTTCTCGAGGTGATTTTACATAATCATGCTTATCAGTGTGGTTTGTTTTGGAACTGCAGGAAAACATGGAATATTTCAGAAAGAGAACAGTGATGGAAATCTTAAGATTAAGAGCTGACTAATCAAATATGGATCCTTTTCCTTTTGGTGAACAGCTGATTAACTTAGGTTGATATTCGTAGACTAAATTGTCAATCGTGTATACATTGTTGGAAGTTGCCGGCAAAGATAGGAAATATATTTTTCCAGTGAGAAGCTGGAGTTTTGTCAGTATGTAAACCTGTATGTTGATAACACCAGATTTCTGTAAAGTTCCGTTGTTTTTGGTGATTCAGTTGGCAGAAAGAACAAGAGGGGGAAGAGAATCTTTGCGCTCGGTTGAACAATCTGTATCTGAAGAGTTTAACTTTTAGGAGCCTAGCCGTAGTGCTACTGATACTTACCATTTGCTGCTCATTTGATTGTTCTTGTAGTGCTTTGGTAGCTGGTGGGGATTGGCATGCTCTGGTGCATGCCAGAAAAGAGGAAAGGTTGTACCCGGCATCCACAAGTTAAACAAATGCGTATAATGGTTCTTCATTTGTAAACCATGTGTTTGTGTTGTCAAATTTACTCGGGACATCCGAAACGTAAAACATCATGTTTTGTGATTTGTTTAATGAAACCTTATGTTCTGGGGCAAAATGTTACTTAAAACCCCAGGTACAAAACATGTGATTTGTTTCATGAAACCTCATGTTAGGTACAAGCTTCTGTTTTCCATTTGGTTGATATATTTATCCATAATAATTGTAAAAGAAAAGTATTGAGGTTTTTTTTAGTATTTGTACATGCTAGCTGTTTTTTTTAATAAGCATTGGTTATCGATAGTTTGATTATTCGTGTGTGCATATGCATTCGGTTATCATGTCATTAGTTTGGATTATGTCGAGTTTTTTAGTCAACTGATATATGAAAATAGTCACATACATATATACATATATATATATATATATATATATATATATATATATATATATATATATATATATAGTAAATTTGTTTGGTGCTCCATGGTGCCCGGGCACCATTGTTGAAATTGAGTATATAACCAATTCAAATGAGTATGAAACTTTTTCAATTATTTAAGTATTAACATTAACTACTTTACTAACTAGTTCAAAGCAAGTTTGAACTGAATTTGAACTTGTTTTTGTTAGATTTTGATTCTAGGTATATAGCATCCATACATATAATTAGTTAGGTATGTAATCATGAATTGTGAAATAAAGTTAAATTTGAGTTGTTTTGTTGATAGATATATGTATGAATCGAATTCTTATAACTAGGTATATACTCACAATTTAAAAATTTTGAAAAATTTGAGTAATTTTGTGCATTTGAAACCATGGTGCCCGGGCACCATGGTGCCCCATATGAGTGTCATATATATATATATATATATATATAATATGAATGTTTTACGTAAATTTGGAGTTTCTTAAAATATTTTGCCACAAAACATAGCATTCTTTGAACAAAAAGCAAAACCTGAGATTTTGTGTAACAGATGCCTCAATACTTGGGTGTTGTGAAATGTACTATTTTTTTAAAAAAAAGGTGTCACGTTTTGTTCTTCTGCTTCTCTGTGCGGTGCCTTTTATCGTGCTCACTAGAATTGATCTTCTAAAGGAAAATGTTTAGAAAAGCTTATTGAATTATCCAGAATTGACCTTTTGTTTTCTCTTGAGGCTTCTACAGTGCATTTATCATCCTCGCTAGATTGACCATCTAAAAGAGAAGATTTATAAAAGCTTTCGGCATAAACCAGGACTGACATTTTGGAAGAAGAGCCTCTTGGTGTCTTTGAGACCATCTAAAAGAGAAGATTTATAAAAGCTTTCGCCATAAACCACGACTGACATTTTGGAAGAAAAGCCTCTTGGTGTCTTTGAAAAGGTTTTAAAAAAACAGTACGCTAACCACTATCTGAACCAATTAACCAAACCCCAGATCGAAATTTCTGTCAAATTAAAAAGATAAGTCTCGTGTCATTTGGAGATGCGGGGTATCGATCCCCGTACTTCTCGCATGCTAAGCGAGCGCTCTACCATCTGAGCTACATCCCCTACTAATTTTGTGATTGTTTCATTTTTTAATTTTTTCAGAAATTGCATAGACCACAGCTGTTGTTTCTGTGTTTTGTTTCAGAGCTTCCTTATACCCTCACTTTGGACGCGTTTTTTGACTTTTTCTTGGTACGCTTCTCTCGCGCAAGCCGCAACTGGGCTTCTGCTTGTTGCGTGAAAGCCACCATCTTAATCACCGAATGGCTCCCTTCCAATTATTGCAGAATGGCATCTCTTACGAATAATTATATTACTAATAGGCAAATTAAGGAGCAGTGCAGACTGCAGACAGAGAAGAGAACAAAAACAGCGTCCTAAATATCAGCAGGAAATACCCACAGTTTTATTTTTTTAAGATAATGGAATTTAACATCTCAGCCTTTGCTCAAAAAGAGCTACAGCCAATTATTACATTGTAGCAATCCAGAAAAGAGCGTAGTTCAGCTAAATAGGACACACCAAACAAAAACAGAGAAAACCAAGCCAAAATAAGGAGAACATATTTATTAAAGTCTATTTGTGAACCTCCATCCATAATTGGCAGATAATTACATAACCATCGACTCCAACTTGTGACATGCAACTTTTAGGAACTCCCCATCATCTCACACCTTTGTAGTTGTGCCCAAAACCGGAGCCAGTGCGTTGCCCTGAAAATTACCTGCATATATAAAATAGATGGTGATTTATTAAAAAACAAATCATTTCTACTCAACCATAGAGCCCAACAAATAGCAGAAGCTCCAACCAGTATCAGTTTACTCTTTTTCTTGTCAACCCCCAAAAGCCACCCATCAAATATATGAGATATACTAGTTGGAAGATTAAAACCAAAAGAAAACTGAACTGCTCTCCATATAAATTTTACATAATGACAATCTATGAAGAGATGTTAAATAGTTTCATTTTTCATACAAAAGCAACACCTTAAGCTAATACCCACAGTTTTATGCTCCTCTGTTTTGAAAACTGTGGAATATATACGCATATATACCAAAAAAAAAGAACAGAATTTATTTTTTTAGATAACGATGAAATGGAACTTATGCAACAAACAAACAACATTCTTATGAGAAAAGATAACTTGGTCAAATCAATTGTCCCTTGGTATATATACTGTACGGGCTCATCACAATACTCATCACGGACACTGCAGTTACGGAGATCAATCATTCGAGCCATCGATTCGAGTTGCGAACCTGCAATGGCGGCGGCGACTGATGCTGCAACCGGGGACGCGACGACGGCGACGACGACGGTGCTCGTCGGGGTGGACTACAGCGAGCACAGCTACCACGCGCTGGAGGAGGCGGCGCGGCTCGCCGCGGCGAGGTTCCCTCCCGGCTCCGCCGAGGTCGTCGCCGTCCACGCCCGGCGGCCGCTCGCCCCGGCGTTCGTCGCCATCGGTGCGTACGCTGATCGAGCCGCACTGCACAGCAGCAGCAATCAACGAATCGACGCGTCCCTTTGATGATGGATAAAACTTTGGATTTAGCAGGCGCGGTGGCGGCGGTGATGAGCGTGGAGGCGGCGGAGCAGCGTGCGGTGGAGAAGCTGATCGGGGAGAAGGCAGGCCAACTCTCAGCCCAATACAAGGTAGGAGTACGTTTTTTTTTTTATTAAGCTAGTTTAGATAATTCAGATTGTATTTATATTGAGACGAATGGAGTAATACTTATACGGTGTCCTTTTCTATCTATTTTCTAGCTTTTACTCTCAGTTCCTCAATTTTTACACGTACATTTTCGAAAGTGTTAAACGGTATTTTTTAAAAAAAAAAGGTTCTATTAAAAAGTTGTTAAAAAATCATGTTAACCTATTTTAAAAGTGTTTAATATTTAATTTAAGTATGTGTTAATGGTACCTTTTCCTGTGTGGGAGGAAAAGGTTCCCAAGCTCGTTGAACTGGACACAGTTTAGAATTCGTTCTTCATGAGAATTGATTTGTATATGTACGTAGATGATGAATCCATTCGTCCATGGGTGGTTCGTTGCTGCTGCAGGTCGAGGTGAAGGTGGAGGTGAAGGACGGCGAGGCGAAGCGCGTGCTGTGCGACGCCGTCGGCGAGCACGGCGCCGGCTTGCTGGTGGTGGGCAGCCATGGCTACGGCCCGGTGCTGAGGGCGCTGCTGGGGAGCGTCAGCGACCACTGCTGCCGCCACGCGAGCTGCCCCGTCATGGTGGTCAAGATGCCATAGCGCCCCAGGCCTTGACAACTTTGCATATATCCTCCTCGCCCATATGTATATGTCTGATACTTTTAACTAAATCAACTTTTGTACGTAGGAAGAAAATGTATCTTGTGTTTGATTGAGAAGCTACAGATTGATTGATTGAGAGACAGACTTGCATATCATTTTACCTTTCAATTTTTTTTTCAGTGAAATCATGGTTTTCAAACATGGGACGACCTGCCAAACCTCTCGAGTAAGCAGACATCAGCAATATCATCTAAACGCGTTCAGCAAACATTGCTAAGGCATAAAACCTGCTAATGAGCTACAACCGTCAAGATGAGGAAAAAGAACCATTCCAATGCTCCGACGGTTGAACCGTAGAGTTGCTGCCTCTAATTAAAAAATGATGATGGAAATCCTCCACAAGTTATGCATCCGAGCCCAAACACGCTAGAACCACTGAACCAGCATTGCAAACTAGAATGTCACAAACCGTTCAAACATAAAACCACCGGCTCGACATCGAAGTATTCACCTCATCTGCCTACCTTCTTGCTGTCGGAAATCATTGCCATATTACTTGGGCAACCACATCAAGTTATAATAGGTCAGACTTCAGGAAAACAAAAAATGCTGGTGGTAAGCATATTGCAAGCTAGGGTAACAAGCACCATAGTGCTGCTCAACAAGCAGCAGAAGCTTTCCATGAATTGATGAGCAACACAACATGGGGGTGCCAAGAAATAACTGACATGGAAATCAATAAGCATCCGACATATGTTTTGAGTAAAAATAATCCAGATAGTAGCATTCGGCGAACTACCAAAAACCCAAGGGAACAAGACCAGCCACAGAAGGCCACATGAAGTGCATAGTTTGATGTTTTCATTACTACAAATTCATAGTATCAAATTTAATGGAGCTTCATTGCACCACAGCTAAGATTCGGATGTAATCGGACATCAAGGACAGCAAATAGCCGTACATGAGAAGTCCGTGTCACTGCTCACATCAGCATATCACTTCTATTCAGATTTCGCCTGGAAACATAATTAAATTAGTGTAAGCACAACAATCAACCATGCAATGTTTGGAAGTCAAGGAAACATGGGTGACGAATGCATACATCAGGAGACCGTGAACGAGATGGGCTCCTGCTTGGGCTCCGTTTCTTGGGGCTTGATGCTTCACCATTTGCAGGCTGGGGGAAGTATATTTAGGAAACAACACGTTAAGTAAAACAAACGGAAGTGAAAGAAAAAGGAAATTTTTAATAGTATGAAGGGAACTTACAGAAGCATTTGGAGATTTGGATCTTGCTGGTGATCTGCAAAAAAGAAGTCGAGAAGCAACCATATTCAATATCCAAAATGCGGGTCTAACAGCTTATTCCAAAAACCTTGATGCTTTGTCCAGCATTGCACCGACCAAATGAAAGTGAAAATAGCCCAATGAAAACAAGAGATTAAGAGCACATAATTAAGTCCAAAAATATGTAGTATTGAATGCAAATAATGCATGCAAGACGCAACCACCATATATAGCATGCCAAAGGTAGGGAGAGAACTCATTCCTCAAGCATTGAACGCCAAGCACATTCCTAGTCATTGTACCATCATTATCCAAATATCGTCAATCCTTAATGCTCCTATGTCCAGAATTCCAAACAATGCGCTATGCCCAATCTCTGATGGCAATCAGTTACAGTGCATTAGGTCAAATAATTGGATCATTTTAGCTTTCCATAGAAGCTCTCAATAAATGGGCATACCTCATACAACCAAGAGCAAATTGAGGAAATCCCATCCTCAATATCCTAATGCGCAATCCCCAGATCGCCGCACAATCCCAGATAAATGAAGAGATAATCGGGTCTTCACAAAACAAATGAGGCTAAGCAGTTCATATAGTTTATAATAGAAGCTGTACTTGAGAAGGAAATTCCCAAGGAAATAAATACTAGTATAGCAAATCGACAATTATTATTAGGTAAGTTTGGAAACACAGATAAGTTAGTGAATTTAACTAATGATGCCAAGTGATTACTTATCATATACCAAAAAAGAGCCAGACACTAATCAGATGCCACATGCAGTATGGAACGGTCAACAACCAATGCCTCAGGCATAGATAATGCAGAGCACAGAGATATTGTTAGGGGAACAAATGCTGGTCACTGTTTTCAAATTAACAAATTAATGCACAAGACTTATTTGGTAATATGGGAGCATGATAGGAAATGGTTATGGTATGTGCGCATATCAGATCATGCTGTGATCTGCCCTTTTTTCCCTTCTTTGGAGGACATGATGTGCCCCAGAAGAGGATACTATAAAGAGTTTGACTTAAGAATTAAAAATATAATTAGATAGACGACAGATGCGTGTTACCTTGATGGAGAGCGCCCTTTTGATGCTGACCGTGAACGGGAAGAAACAGACCTTGATCGAGATCGAGATCGGGATGCTGAACGGCGAGTTCTAGGAGATTTACTGCACAGCATATTCAATATGAGTTAAGTCATCAACAGTTTTACCCACGGAGATCAAAATATGATAAAAAGACCTTAGACTCCTGCTTTTGCTTCGGCTACGACTTGGGCTTCGGCTACGTGAATAGGAGCGGGCGCGCTTGCCATCATATTCCTTCACCTATGATAAGAAGTACATGGTTAGCCAGAGAAACTGATTCCAGGGCTCAACCATAAAAAAAGAGAGAGGAAAGAACAGTTTACCCTTATGTGACCTTTAGAAAAGGCATTCCTGAATTCACTGTCATCAAGTTTCTTTATCTGCAAATAATGATCAGCAACCAAGAGAACATTTAAACTATCAGGATCACAATGCTAGGACTGAACTAGAATGCTAGATACAAAAGTAACCGACTGCCATAAAAATACAAAATAGAGTGTCATAAACCATACAGATTACAGAGAAAGAAAGTTCTCAGATGAAATATTTCACACAAGCTAAAGAATGTAATAAAAGGTATTAACATATAAGCTTACAGCATATTTCATGTCATCATAGTTTGTGTAGTCCACAATCCCTACAGTACCTGCAACAAAATGAAAACATAAGTCTCTACCTCAATAACCATATAGAAGAATTATTGCTTCAGATAGTTGTACAATGCATATATTCAGAGGACTACAATGGCATATTGGCATACCAACCAACAGCTAAAACCCTAGAACTACAACTGTGATAAACAGAGCAAAGAGAGACCCAGCACAGCAGGGATTGCTGGGCCGGTAGGCCCCCACCTTAAGCACAAACAAAGAGGGCAATTGACCACTATTAGAGGGGGGGGCATTACAAAGAGATAACAACCAGGTATGTTTTTTTGGTAGAATATTTGAGGTAGATAGGAAAACTATGGAAAGAGAGTAGTTTGTAATACTTGATAAAGAATAACCATGATGACATAGGAAACAAAAGAAAAATGAATTTCAAATGTGTTTTCCTGTATATAAAAATTCTTTCAGAATGGACCTAAATTATCCTGCTTCGGAGATAATCTTGAGAATATTGGTATGACCACGTGTATGTTATGGGTTGGGAGAGTTGGAGCTGTTAATTTCGTCATAGAAATGACCAACTGAGTGTATTTACTTATGGTATAAACCTGAACAATATGTTCAACAAATACACCCTCTGTCCCAAGGTATAGCTCCCTTGAGCTATGAATCAGGACAAGGAGAGGAGGGGGTGAGTAGGAGTGTCTATTATGTACGATGGATACTACAGAAGCTAAATAAAAACTTATAGCTGTGGGCACAAAATATGTGTATTACCGCCGCCCTCGCGATACACTTCTGAGAAACAAACATCACCAGCCTTGCGCATATGGTCCTGAGAAGCAAATGTTCATAAGAAAATGTTACTGGTTGTCCAAGGGAATAAGTCGTTTTAATTTTACATTGAAAAGGAAATGTGCTTGCAACAAACCTTTAAATCTTGCCATGATGCAGAAGAAGGCAAACCAGTAACCAGAACTGTGTGAAGTGCATAAATCATTAAAAACATCACGGAGTAGAATAGAATTGAGCATTAAACATCAATTTGGACATAGATGAGAGTCATACCACGGTATTCTGAGTGCCTGGACACACCACGGCGTCCTCCACCACCAAAGTTGCTGGGGCGGTCAAAGGAGGAACCACCATTACCTCTCCCACCGTGAGCAGGTTCAACCTGCAGATGGTTGCGGCCATTATACAGATAAATCAAAAACAAAGGACATCAAGAAGTAACTTATTTATTCTAGTGTCATTACCCTTAGACGATGTCCATCAAAGTTATAACCATCCCTGCCAGCACATGCTTCTTCAGCATCACGAGGATCTTCAAACTAAAAAGTTAGGGCACAAATTATATTAGCATGCGGCACCTTAAGTATGTAACAACAGGAAGGTCTCATTCCAAGACCAAATAAACATTATGTGAAACATCTGGGAGTATGTTACCTCTACAAAAGCATAGCCTGGTGGCCTCGGAGGGATCTTCAAGTCAATATCAACAATTCGGCCATACTATATGAAACAATGTAAAAAAGTATTAGACCCCGGGACATTGAATCATGCCCGACAAATCAATTGTAAACACACCCTCAAGCACATATGTTGACTCGAGATGCCGGATATCAGCGGTAAACCAACTTTTCCAAATAAGTAAATTTACCCATCAGCTTTCTCAAACAAGATTATCATTTTTTTTCCGTTTTCTTTCGGCACAGCCATGCCTTACTTATTTCCCATTAACTTATGTACAGGACTTATCAGTTCTCTTTTATAGTAATATATATAAGTCGATCGAATCCAGTTAGCTAAATTATGGAAAACTGAATCTAAGCATATACGGAGTAACATGTGGCATAAAAAATAGCTTGACAATTTCTGCTAACACTATCTACACAAAAGAGAGAAAAAAACAAATCACCGACCTTGTAGAAGAGATCCTCCACCTCCCTCTCCCTGATGTCACCAGGGAGATTCCCCACGTAGATCGTCCGGCTCCACCGCCTGCTCATCCTCCTTCCCGCGGCAAGTCAGCAACCTATAAACAACCAAGAACCAACCACCACTGATCAGACCCTGCAAGCAGCGCGCCGCAAAAAACCAAAAAAAAAAGAAAAAGAAATAGCAAATCGACCCCCCCCAAAAAAAAAAAAAAAAAAAACTCCCCGCACCACCGCCCGCAGCTAGGTTCGGAGGTGGGGCGGGGAACCGGGGCGCGGTAGCACGACGACGCGAGGCGCGAATCGAGAGAGGGAGGAGGAGGAGGAGGGATTCGTACCGGGGGCGCCGCGGCGCTGGGTGACCTAGGGTTTGGGTTGGGCGGGTCGCACGGGGAAGAGGAGGGGAGAGGGGGAGGAGAGGAGGGTTTATGACCGCTCGAGGTCGCGGAGACTGGGAAAAGATGGGAGAGCACACGGCGGCGACGACTCCGGTTCGGATCGGGGGAGGCCTGTACTGTTTTGGTTGGGAGCGTGCACGGCCCAAGTTCATACGGTTATACTCGGGCCCATAGAGCGCACTAAGGCCCACGTAGGCCCGTTGGAACCTGCTCAATCATGAATATTACACGTAATACAAGGAAATATCTATATTTGAAAAATAGATTTATACTTGTTAATACCTCCGTCCTAGCATGTAGTTATTTATTGTACAGTAACATGTCTTAAAATAAAACTATTTCTCTAGGAGATTACCAGGCGTCAGGCGTCCGATGCCCCGTGCATGCATCGGACGCTCCTGTCGTGCAAGGAGCCCACGCCTGTGATGTCCACATGCGACTCCTCCACGTGTCTCCACCTTATACTCCATTGCAACAAATCACTCACATATTTTGGAAACCCTCTATTAAGAGAATTCGGTTCATTTTTTGTTCCACCAAAAATATTTCATCTAGTGCACTCACAATGCTTCACTATGTATAGATCTAATGTTGTAGTGAATTAAAATACTTCATTGCAACAAATCACCCACATATTTTGGAAACCCTCTATTAAGGGAATTCGTTTCATTTTTCGTTCCACAAAAAATGTTTCACCTAGTGTACTCACAATGTTTCACTATGTATGGATCAAATATTGCAGTAAACTGAAACACTCTTTCGCTATTTGCTAAAACATTGTTTTTATATAAGGTGAAACAACGCCTGATTTAAATGATTGAAACATTTTCGATCTACTTAGTGAAACAATTCCGATATACCTGGTGGAACATCGTATATTTTTAAAAAATTCAATAATAAACTAAAAAAATTTTGTCGGAATATATCCATGTGTGGTCTTGTTTTGAAGATTTAATTGCAACGAATTTAATGGTGCAATCGGATCATGATTTGGATAAATAATTTAAGAGAAAAATTAGTTTAAAGTGGTTTTGCATATATGGGTGGCGCTGACGTCAGCGCCCGGTTTTTAGAGTTTTGGATTGGGCGACCGATCCCTAGTCACCTCCATTTCTCTATCTACATCCTCTTCTCATCAATCACAACCATTGTCCTTCACATACTTTCTCTTCACAACTTATCACAACATTTCTCCAATCGTCCACGTACGCTTTCTTAAATACACATGTCAACCTTAAAAATATGTGTATTTTGGGATGGTGAAAGTATTTTAAAACAACTATATAGTATATAGAAAGTTTCCGTATAAAACGCACCGTTTAGCTGATGAAACTTAATCGAGGTAAAATCTACTTCCTCCGTTTCATAATGTAAGACTTTTTAAGATTACTCATATTTATATAGATGTTAATGAATTTAGAGATAATGATAAGTTTTTCCCCCTTCTATAAATAAGTACATCACATATAGCAGCGAGTTGAGCCTTAGAAGTTAGAACAGCATAACAAATACTCTTAGCATTGTTTCAGAGCAGGTGGAAGAAAAACGTTGGTTCAGATCCAACCCAGGATACTCGGTTGCTTGGAAATGAACGGGCTGTCGATCGATGTAGCCACGGTCCGTCCCGTTTGGACAACCTGATCACCATCTTCCAACAATTTTTAAAGATATTTTTGCCGATGTAGTATACCTTAATTAGGTCTGAATGAATGAATGATGTACTTGTCCAATATATGTCACCGATGCATTTACTCATCGATCTGAACAAAGAAGATAGGGGCGCTTTACTACTAATGGAAAAACTCAATTACAAGTTTACAATTGCACATACGCATCATGAAATCGAATTAATTAAGCCAACACAAACACGTACGTACACGTGCAGCAAAAGTTTCATGCAGCTGCACTACCGTTCTCTTGTAGCATACAGAATTTGAAGCCATGGATCTCATGTCATACGTCACAGCTACGCAAAGAAGCAGCTATATCGATCAGGTCCGCTTGACGGGGTCGAAGTTGGAGACGGCGACGACGGCGCCGACGATGGCGACGAGCACGACGCCGCCGGACGCGATGCTGAGCAGGAAGTTCTTGAGCGACGGCGACAGCGCCGGCGCCGCCTCCGCCACCTCGGGCACCGCCAGCGCCGCCGCCACGGCCGCCACCGCGGCTATCCCCGCCGCCGCGGCAGCAGCTGAGGCCTTCTCCCTCCTCACCGGCTCCCCCGACGACGACGCCCGGACGACGACGGCCCGCCGTGCCGCCGCCGGGGAGGCGGCTTTCATCGGCGCCGCCGGCGACGAGACGCGAGCCAGCGGCCTCCCGAGCCCCCCGGCCACGGACAGAGACGCCGCAACGGCGGTCGCGGTGGCGGCCATGGATCGATGGAGGTGTCTCCTCTCGCGCTTGCTTGTGAAGAGGAGGAGATCGATGGATGGACAAGAGCTAAGCGGGTGTCGGCGTAGCTAGGGAGATGGATATGTAGATTGAATAGGCGAGGAGGAGAGGTCGTGGTTGCCAGGTCAGCACCTCGGTCTGACGTGGAGGGTTCCTGGTCGTGCCACGTGGCGTGGACGGATAAGGCTTTTATCCCTGCGAGTCCGAGCTGATGGCTGAGGTGGCGGGTTTTGTATGCGGTTGTACAGTGTACGTGAGCGTGAGGTCTCTTGGGCCTTGGGCTGTTGTTGGATTATTGGGCCGGAGTTTGCTGGAATATGGGCTGAAGTGCTGAAGGCTGAACGATGAGAAGATGTGGGCCGAAATGGTTAGTCACCGTAGGTAGGCCCATGCAAGTTTCCAAAATGCATCCGTGCCCGTTTGAAACGCAGGGATTCTACATGAATTGCACATAAAGTTCCCATGAAGTTCAAGCAAAGCCTCAATTTCAGCTATGCACATTACTCGTCACCAGGCTTATTGATTTTCGTGAAACCGTTGGGTATCGATTTTTGAAAACCGGTCGCTTTTAGTTAATTTTGTAAGACCTTAACCAAAAGTCATCGTTTTTTATTGGTTTTCAATCAGTTTATCGTAAACTAGTAAGGAGCGGTTTTCAACTTGAAAACGGAATGGTTATCCCTGCTCTTCACATCAATCCAACCCTCTAGTTTTGTTAGTCTACTATACTGCTACATACTACCTCCGTTCTAAAATGTAAGTTATTTCTAGCACAATAACTTGTTTCAAAATGAAGCTATTTCTCTACCTACCTCATCATCTCAACCAATTAGGGTCTGCTTAGTTCCCAAACAAAAATGGTTCACCTTGTCTTACCAAATGTTTGGACATATGTATGGAACATTAAATATAAAAAAAAACTAATTACACAAATTGCGTGTAAATTGCGAGACGAATCTTTTAAGCCTAATTTGCGCCATGATTTAACAATATAGTGCCATAGTAAACATTTACTAATGACGGATTAATTAGGCTTAATAAATTCGTCTCGCAGTTTACAGACGGAATCTGTAATTTATTTTGTTATTAGTCCACGTTTAATACTTCAAATGTGTGTCCGTATAACCGATGTGATATATCAAAAATTTTCGTTCGCGAGCTGAAAGAGCGTCACAGTCATTCTCCTTTATCTACTTTATCTTTTCAAACAATTATACATTTTCTCCAATAATTCTCACATACTTTCTTAATAGTCATGCCAACCTAAAAATATTCTACATTTTGGAAAAAGAGAAAGTATAGTAAATCCAAAATATCACTACCTAATACACGATGAGACTTTCTAGCAAAACAAATTTGAATAGGATGTGTCCCATCGTGTATTAGGTAGCAACATTTTGGAGCGGAGAAGTGTACTCGATGCATGTACTGTAAGGCGCGAGGCAGAAAGGCGTGGACGAAAGGAGAAGAGCCGGGAAAATTGCGGAGCAAACGGCCGGACAGCAATAGCCAATGGAAGAAGGCAAAGCCTGCATCGCACCATTTTGCTCATTTGCACAGCTGCTACTACTACGGTACAGTACTGTGCTGCAGTCAGTGGCACAATCGGTGCAAAAAAAAGGCAGCTCAACAAAGATCACACCGACCAGGAACGACTTTAGCCGCGTCCCTTTTCTATTTCTTTTTTTTTATTTTTTACCTTTGCATTTCGCAAAGCCCGGGATGAGATGAAAGATACTCCTAGATGCGATCATGCAAAGCACGGATTCATCTTGTACTTCCAATTTGTAGGTACATCGTACACCTCTTGGTCACACTTGTTGGACTACTGTTTTCTTTTGGAAAGATGTTTACTACTCCCTCCATCCTAAAATATTTGACGCCGTTGACTTTTTAAAAAATGTTTGACCGTTCGTCTTATTAAAAAAAAAATTTAAGTAACTATTAATTCTTTTTCTATCATTTGATTTATTGTTAAATATATTTTTATGTATACATATAGTTTTACACATTTCATAAAAGCTTTTGAATAAGACGAACAGTCTGTTTAAAAAAGTCAATGGCGTCAAATATTTAGGAAAGAAGGGAGAAGGGAGTACTTGTTTTAAAACCGGCAAACATAGCATTTAGTGTGAAAACTTTATATATAAAATCGCTTTAAAATATTAATTAAATATTTTCTGAAGTTTATAATAATTCAAATTTAATTAATCATATGTTAATGTTTTTTAAAAATTTTCGTGTCGGTGCTGTAGATTGAGCAGAAAAATTAAGTACTACTAGTACTTAAAAAAAGAGAAAATGAGAAATAAAAAAAAAGAGAAGAAGAAGAGTACGAAGCACATGGACCGATGCGGGCACAGAAGCTTCAGCCTTGTGCAGAGCAACCCGACGAAACGGGGTACTCCTGGTAAAATAATTTACACATGCAATTTTACAAGAGACCCCCTCAAGATCCTCATATTGCAGGAGCAAACCCTAGCAAACAACCGACCACCACCAACCAGCCCAGCCTCCTACCGAGATCGACCACCACGGCGGAGCTCTACTCGTCGTCGCCGCCGTCGCCGCCGAAGAGGGCGGTGCGGTAGTAGAGGAGGGCGAGGATGAGGAGCAGCATGAGCGCGACGCCGACGGGCGAGCCGCCGACGCGGTGGACGGCGTCGGGGGAGCCCCCGAAGGCGAACGCGTCGGCGAGCGCGGCGGCGCCGCGGTCGGAGGAGAGGAGGCGGATGAGGAGGAGGAGGCACACGGGGAGGAGGAGGAGCCCCACGGGGCTGAGCAGCTCCGCGACGGCCTCCGTCACGGCCTCCCCGCCGTCGCCGAGGAAGAGCGGGCCCGCCACCACCAGCCCCACCACCACCGCCAGCAGCAGCCCGTGCGGCGCCGCCCCCCCGCGCGGCCCTCCCCCGCCGCCGCCGTACTGGTTGTACTCGTCCGCCATCCCCGCCATTGCCGCGCGCTGCGTGTGAAGAGGAGAGGAGAGGAGGGGTGGGAGTGATGATGAAGCGGAGCGGCGAGGGGTATATGTGTGAATGATGCGTGGAGAGGGGTAGATCACATGAGCGGTGCGGGCCCCATGAGCAGTGCCTCACGATGGGTTTTTTTCCTGGGTGGGGCCCACTGGCAGTGACTCGGGCTGGTTTTTGGGTGGGGCCCACGGGCAGTGACTCGGGCTAGGTGTGTGCTTTGCCTGTAGGGTTGGTGGTGGGGTCAGTCCTTCGTCGATCTTCAATGAAGAGAGGGGGAGATATCGCCGTCGCCGCTTGACGGAACTTGTGCCCAAGCGTAGTCTTGGACGAGATCACGAGAGTAGTACGCGTGTAGGACCAAGGGCTGGTTTTTTCTTTCTTTCTTTTCTTTCTTTTTTTTTTTACGGATTGCTTTGATGTCAAGCATGAGCTAATTTCACGGAAATGCTTCGCCCAGAGCGATCAGTTTTCCGATATTTTCTATATATATAGTATTTCTATACATCTAAAGTTTATACACCTAAAGTTTATAAGTCAAAAGTTTACATACCTAATTCAAATTTAAATTTGAGTTCAATTTTTTTATATATAGTATTTCTATACATAAATTTTTCTAATTTTTGTTTTTCAAAAAAATTTTGTGTGGTCTACTGTAGTAGAAAGAGGAGAATGGGAGGAGGAGGAAGGGGAGAAGAGGGAGGAGTATAGGGGGAGGGGGGCCGGATCCGATCGCTGGGCGATCGATCGCCCATTAGCCCCCCCCCCCCCCCCCCTAATTTTGGGCATTTCGGTAGAGGGTTTAGCTAGGATCACATTTCTTGCAAGGAACAAGAAAAAGTTATTCTTCTTCTTTTTCTCTCTCTAACTTGTTGGCATGCCAATGGTGTTTTGCGTGGATCTGTATTGTCATATTTGTTATTAATAAAGTAACTACGTATTGTTTTGATATTTCGATCTATTTGTGTTTGTTGATTATTTTATCGTTTAGTATTTTGTCGACTTTAAAAAAATAGTATAGCCATGGAAGTGCAATTGTAGAGTTGATGGTTCGTTTCATTGAGGCTAGGGTCGGCGACAAATTGATATGATGCCAAATTCATAAAAACATAATGTAGTGACGTAAATGGAGACAGAGAATGATGAGCGTGCCACACACTAAAATTGGCCATAGCTACCAAGGATGATGTCGAGGCCGACAAATCGAAGTAATGCAGATGAAGACATCCATTCAAAATCTTGATATGTGGTGTCATGGACCGAAATAAGAAAAGGCAACCAACTGAGTCTTTATATATCTAAAGACTCCAACTATGCACAAAAACAAAAAGATATATGGTAACTGTAACTCTTTCATCCAAATGTTTGATATTTTGATACTCCACAAAGTGGATTTTGATTATTTGACATCTTGATCCGGATTATTATTTACTCGAATGATACAATATATCGTTCTCATGAGTGCTAATTAATCGAAGTGGCAACCGATAAAGTATCAAACCATCAATATGGAAAACAGTACTCCATTCGTTTCACAATGTAAATCATTTTAGCATTTCCCACGTTCATACCGATGTTAATAAATCTAGACATATATATCTATCTAGATTCATTACCATCAATGTGAATGTGGGAAATGGTAGAATGACTTGCATTGTGAAACAGAGAAAGTAACTCAAGAAGCATGCACCATATTTTAGTTTTTTCGTTTGATTGGAAGTTTGGAATCACTCATTCAACATTCTATGGGTCTTATGAACTTCCATAGTTTGTTATTCCCTCATTTGTGAGTGCACCACTACTCTCTCTTTTTTTAACATCATGGCTGCTGTTGCAATTAAAACCAATATTGCTATTGGGAAGAGCTATTACTAGTTGTGAACAAGGCTTTTCAACGACTAGCTATGGCAACCCAGCATTAGAGCCCATGCTTGTAGTCAAGAAAGTGAAAATAGCGTCTGTTAAATAATTTATGCAATGATTAAAGCGAAATTGGGAGTACTCTACGTTCGAACCAGGATGTTCGAATTTTTTTCACTCCAACACTAAAAAGGGATAGCTCATTAATACATGATTAATTAAAGTATCAACTAAAAACTTAAAATGGATTAATATGTTTTTTAAAACAGCTTTCATATAGATTTTTTTTAAAAAAAACCACACCTAATATCAGTTTAGAAAGCGTGTGTGCGGAAATAAGAGAAGGTGGAGAAAAGAGCACACCCTTAACCATTTGATTAGTGTTTTCTGGATCACATGAGAGAGTTTCTTGGTCTGTACAGTACTATCTACGGTACACCGTGGGATCGACGGATGCACTTACGTGTTATCATAACAAGCTAGAATAATGATAATCCAATCAAAATCCCTTATATTCTGGGATCGAAGGATTACTACTTCCACATATTTAGGGGGTGTTTAGATGGGGCTAAAACTTTTTAGCCCATGTCACATCGGATGTTTGGACGCTAATTTGGAGTATTAAACATAGACTAGTAAAAAAACTAATTTTATAAATAAGAGCTAATCCGCGAGACGAATTTTTTAAGCCTAATTAATCCATAATTATCAAAAGTTTACTGTAGCATCACATTGTCAAAATCATGGCGTAATTAGACTCAAAAGATTCGTCTCACGAATTAGTCCAAAGTTATGGAATGGGTTTTGTAATTAGTGTATGTCCCTGGAAACCAAACAGGCCCTTTGCTACGAATAACGGTACTCCATATTGTAAACAAGACGCATTCAGACAGATCTGGTTCTGCTCTGCTCGGCAACTTCAGTTCAGTTTCTTGGATCTTATGATTTGACTGGGTGGAGCGATCCCGAGGGACTGACTGGGGCCGCCGGGAATCCGATCACCGGCAGCACACATCACGCGCAGGCGCAACGGAGACGAAAGTTCCACTGGGTTTTATTTTGATGGATCCTGGCAGGAAATCGGTCAGTCCAGAATCTTCTTCAGATACCTACTCATTGCCTGCACAAGGAGTAAGGCTGTCAGAGCCGACACCTTAACATGGCGGAGAAACGAGTGTAGGCTGTGTTCAGTGCATGCAGCGTCAAAGTTTAAATTTTGGTTAAAATTAGAGATGATATGACTGAAAAGTTGTGTGTATGACAGATTGATGTAATGGAAAAGGTCTGAAGTTTGGATCCAAACTTTAGATCTATACACAGCAGTACTATAGGCGTGTGCATCCATGATCCATCCAGCTTCAGATCTAAACACGCGAGGGCTTGTTTATTGCTTACTGTAGTGCTCTGTTTTGTCTATGCGCTATTGCGCTTCACTGTCTCCCCTCCCGTGCTGCGTGGTGCACGTTAACACGTTCATCTGTATCAACCAGCCAGTCTTCTTCTTCTTCTTCTTCTTTTAAGAAAGGCGGCATGCATCAAACAACAACATCAAAAAAAATGTCCCAGATGTAATCCGGTGTTACAAATGGTAAAAAGTACAGGTAGAAAGCTCAGCATGTCGAGCTAGAGGATGAGCCGCCAAATTAGACAAACGGTTAACATGCGTAAAAGACACAAAGCAAAGGTGGTCGCAATCCTCTTGATATCTTCAATTAGGCAGCCAACGCCAGAGCGATCCCTCCCTAAAGACTGGATGCGCCGGATTACAATAAGGCAATCAGATGCCATGACAACATTTTATAGGCCCTCTTCCTCTACCAGGCACAGGGCTCGCCTAATCGCCGGCGCTCCTGCAAGTTCAGGCTGCACCACGTCACTAATAACCTCGGAGCAGGTGACCAGGCATCAAGCAGCCAGTCTGACTGTACGTTCTTGCTAATAACACTAGCTGCAGATTGGGTAATTGCAATGTTGCTGCAAAGCCATATGCACTTTGTATCAGATTACTTAACTTCCCTATCGTTTGCCTTTTAGGAAACCACTACCAAAATTGAAATTTCAAAACTTAATTTTAAAGATGATTTTGGATTTTCTTTTCAATTATTGTTTATTTTTCAATATTAGTTTACCGTGAATAACATCACACGGATATAATCTTATCTACAAATTATTTTTTGATTGCTTAGATAAGCTGTTTTTCAGCTGTAGGTCAATAATCATATGCTATTCGTTTTCCCGATTCGAGCAAGTAGCAGGCATTGGCTGAAAAGGCTGAGAGTACGTCTGAATATGTAATACAGCACAGTTGGCAAAAAAGAACTTTGGTCATCTTACTGGGACCCTGAAACACATCACGGCCAAATTATGTTCATTCTCACAACAGTAGTTAGTAACTCTTGTGATCTGTACGCTATGCTTAATCTGCAGACCATATCACAAAATTGGGATGAACGAAAGCATGTTACATCTCTAAAGGCCTATTGTTTTACCCGAAGAAAACATACACAGGGTTATCTTTTGCATCCTCTCCTTCAGCTGTGTTGCCACAAGGATAAACCAAGCGCTTAATAGTGTTGCAAGACAGTGGAGGCTTCACATTGTTGGAGATCCCCGTAGGTTGGTCGCCTAGTGCTTCATTGCTTCCTTAATTCCTTCCAGATTACTCCTCTGATTCATCCTCGGGGTCATCATCCGACTCCATTAAGTCCTCATCTTCTTGTCCTTCTGTCTCTTCCTCGACTTCTTTTCCCTTCTTCCCCAACCCTTCTTTGCCTACTGTATTATGAGAGCAAAAATTAGCTAAAGAGAAAAAACAGAGAAGACATATTTCACATGAATCTCTGCGAAGCACCACGGCAGGTAGTAAACTAACCAGGTTGAGGGTATAGCACATCTCCTGAACATAGCCCGGCTTCAACTTTAACCAAGTGCAGTTTCATCCTTGGTCCGATCTCCTGGAGTCTGATGGCGCTTTTTCTGGATGCTCGGTTTAATTTGTCAACATCACTGGCTAGACTTACAGTTGCTGCTTCATCATCCACTTCACTTTCTGATCCGTATCCAGCTCTGGCAAACAGAGAAGTACACAAACGAGGAACATTATACAAATTAAACATGAGGGACTACAGGAATTTGAAGTGTTGATTTTCAGTAAAAGACACAACACACCATACTATATATTTGAACAGTATCCATTATCTACATGAAGGTAAACATACAAATTAACAAGGCAAATGATTATGGAGTATGGCTACAATATACTTCCTCCGTTTCACAATGTAAGTCATTCTAGCATTTCCCACAATCATATTAATGTCAATGAATCTAAATCGATATATATGTCTAGATTCATTAATATCAATATGAATATGAGAAATGCTAGAATGACTTACATTATGAAACGGAGGAAGTAGTAATAAACAGGTGCAAGTATAACTAATTCCATTTTGTTGATTTCCATTAATAAAAGTACCCAGAAAGCCAGATAACAAACACCTAGAATATATTCATTTCCATTATCAGAGAATTGTGGTAATAGAACAGTGGATAGATGTGCTTTAAATCTCTTAAGTGCGTTTAAATCTAACTGCGAGGAGGAGACCTAGGGAGGGGGGATGGGTTCAATGATGGCTAATAAGTATGCTTCCATGTTCCACTGTTTCTACACTGAATATTTGGGAGGGAAAATATTACGGGTCCAAGAGTGCAGAAGAATTCAGCTGAAAAAGCAACTTATAAAAAATATCTTGGTCTGGTAATATCACAGTAACCAATCCTTCATTGCTCAAAGGACAAATTGGAATTCTCATATTCTATATGTAGGTCCTGGATGCTACACACAGAGCATTTAACCTACTTAACCATTGAAGGTTTCCTGTTAAATTTGAGTCTCTATTTGCATTTATCCTTAACAGTGTTTTATTAACAACTGATCACAGCAGCATAATGTTGACATATTTACCACATGTTTCACAATATCCCATTACAGTTAATTTAAAAGAGAAGTTGTTTCTTACTTTGTCACATAATCGCTAACGTCGTTCAGGTCCCTTAGGTCTGGCACTTGGTTGTTCTGCATGAGCTTTCTAATCTTGCGGGTGACCCCAACAGGCTGGAGCTTGATGGAGTAATGCCTGAAATTGATCATTTCCTTTTCTCTGTCGAAATGTATCAACAGAATCCTTTGACAGGTTGACAGCTTAACCTGTCATGTAAAATATAAAATCATTTTACTATGCTAGAAAGAAGACAATTAAGTTCTAGCACGAAGATGACATCCGCTACTTACAGTGACTGGATCAATAGCAGGGGTCATATGCCGAAAATATTCGACCAAACTCTTGAAAGGCTCGCCAAGACCGCCAAAGCCACTGAGTACAGTCTGCCAAACCATGATTCCACACAAATGCTATCACAATGCCCCCAAGAAGCATCCTAACAATAACAATCATAACACCTCCCAAACAAGGGGGGGAAAAAACAAAGCCACGGCATATATATACCAGAGGTGAATTCTTGAATATCTCTGGGGGACACCTCGGTCGCTTCTGTGAGTTCGCAATGTCGGCGGCGAGAGCATACTCCTTTATCTGAAATGTGTAGGTAGGACCCTGCGGCGTCTTCGCCATGCGCAAGTGCGGCGAGCTCTTGGGGTTCGTGAGGATGAAGAAATGCGTCACGCCCAACGGGCCGGAGACGTTGACGAAATCCTTGAGGTTGTTCCGTTTCTTCTCCTGTTAGATTGTTTCAAATGGGGGAAAACACCAAAAAAAAATTGCGGCTCGTGACCACGCCCAAAGAAGATATCTCAAACAAACAATAGATGCGAAGTGTGAGGATGGGGGACCTTGAGATTCAGGGCGGTGTAGGGGAGCATGACCTTGCGGAGATCCTGCTGGAGATGGCGGAGCGTGGAGGGCAGCTTGCCGCGGGAGAAGACGAAGCTCTTGGGGATCTTGTCGCCAGTGACCTGGTCCACGTTCGCCATCGCTGCCTGCTGCTTCCGCGCCACCGACGCCGGCATCTTCCACTTGCCTTTGCCCTTGCCCTTGCCACCGCCGCCGCCACCGCCGCCGCCGCGACCGTTCTTCTGCTCCCGCGCGAGGAAAAAAGAACACGGGTGAGTGAAACCGAACAACGATTCAAGCAAACGATGCACGGAGATTTGGGGGATGGGATCGAGAGGGGAGGAGCGCTCACGTGGTGGACTCGCGCCATGGCTAGGGTTCGCGGAGCAGCAGCGCCTGGAGAGGGAGAGGGAGAAGGGGAGAGGAGCTGAGCGAAGCTCTGGAGAATTCTGGTTGGAGGGTTAGGGTTTTGGGGATGGTGATTAATGGGCTGGCTTACGGGCTCAGTCGCTGAAGGATTCAACGTTTCGGGCCAGATTCTGGCCCATGTTCGTTGCTGTTTATATGAGCTTGGTCTTTGTTCGTGTGAGGCCATTCAGAGTGCGTCACTAAATTTTAGCGTTCTTCGCATACCATGTAGACAAGAACGGTATAAACTATATGCTCCACAGTGCAGTTACTTGTAGTGTGGGTCCCACCGATACTAACTTTTCACTTTTCATCTCCCCACCCACTCTCTCTCTCTTCTACTCCTTTCCCCACCGGGCCATCGCAAAGCAAACGCTGCAGGGAGCGGTGACCGGGCCGAGCGGCAGCAGCAACGGGCTGAGCAGCGGCGACCGGCACCAGGTTGAGCAGCGGCTAGCGACCTCACAACCATCACCGCCTCTCCCCTCTCGCCGGCCTCAACCTCATCTCCCCCCTCTCCGACGAGCAGATTAAGGGGCGGCGCGGCCGACGAGGCCCGACCGGCGTAGATCGGGGGGCGGCGCAGCTGCTCCTCTCTCCCCGTCGGCCCTCCCCTCCCCTCCTCCTCTTTCGGCGGTGGCGCAGCTGGCAGCGAGTGGAGGTCGTCACGGATCGGGGGGCGGCGTGGCCGGCGAGCTCTGGCGGCGCGGCCGGCATCAAGCGGAGGCCGTCACACAGGCAGGGGCTGCAACGAGCTCCGCGGTGGCGCCCTCCTCTCCCCGTCGTCGACCCCTCCTCTCCTCTCCTGAACCAGCGCTGGCGTCGGTGGCGCAGGAGCAGGGGAGCGGGTGGCCTAGTGCCGTCGAGCTCCTTCCTCGAAGCAACGGCGATCCCCGAGTCGACGCCGCCGCTCCTCTCTCCCCGTCGGCTGCTTCGCCCCTCTCTCCTCTCTCCTCTAGCATGAGTGTGGGTCCCGCTAAGACAAAGAACGCGTAGCCAAAGTTAGCTATGTGGAGCTGAGGAAGCCGCCCGGTTGGATGATGTGGCAAGGAATATTCGGTTTTTTAGGTTGAGGTTGAATGCCACATAAACCCACTGTGAATGGCCTTAGGCCTCGCTGTGCCGCTGCTGCTTTTAACCAGATCATCCTTACATGGCAGTGATGGAAGTTAAACCTAGGAGATCCAATAGTTGTAAAAACAAGGGGCACAGTAAAATATAGACAGCCTATCAAGGGAGATGCTAGGATTGGAGTTTTACTAGAACCCCAATCATGGGCCTTGTCGTCATTCTCAAGCATAAAGAGGGTATAATAGGTTTAGGGCAGGTACAGTAACAGGCTATAAGCAAGCTGCAAATATATTTTAAGGAGATAAATAAGGAGAGAGAATAGCAGCGGGCTACAAATTTATAGCTAGCTGTAGCACAGACTCCAAAACGCAGTGTGTGTATGACAGATGGGACCAGATATTAATTGTGTAGTATGTAACTATTGTATGAATGAGCTATTAGAATATCTATAGATGAATTGGAGCTAGTAGTTGGTTATACTATTAAACTTGCTCTAAGAGATGTGCGCGCAATTGAAAACAAACAACTGGTGATGACTGATGACTCAGTTTCCGCTTCTGAACGAGTACTTCCTCCCCCTCTTGACATTTTTCCACGGTTCTCTCTCTTCTATCTATTATAAACTTCCAATCTCAACTCATCCCTTTTCCCTCCTCGTCTCCTTCAATCTTACCACCCCGGTGAGCTAGAAGTTAGTCAGCACCCTGTCACCTAACTAGCGTCGGTAATTAACACAAACACTAAGCTTGCCTTAATCTCAAGAATTTGTAGAAGCCAGGGTGACTATTGTTTCATTTTCTGAATCATGTGTATTAAAACTGCGAGTATCTAGAGCGTTTTTCCCTCGAAAAAGTAAAACTTGTTTGGAGAGATATTAGTAAAATCTCCCCAAACGTGGCTGCAGTATCATGAGAACTGTCCACGTGGACTGAATGAAAATTTTTTGGAGATCTGATAAAATTTTAGTGTATTATGCGCCGTTTGAGTAAGATGAACATTAAGTACGAGCGCGTGGTTAATTAAGTTTTAAATATTTCAAACTAAAAAAACATCACATATTTTAAAGCAATTCTATATAAGAATGTCTTGACACGAAATGTTTCGAAAAGCGTTCTAACAGAAACCGAGCTATAGCTAAAATCTCCATCTTTTATCGGGAAAAGGAAAAAAAGAGAGAGGACCCAAGTCCACACAGGAGGCCCAATAACTCGGCCCATTACAGTACAAAACCAGAGATGCATCACATGTCCACGGCCCAACGAGAGCAAAAAAAAACAAATGCAAATCTACAGCCATCGAGCAGTCTCGACCGTCGGATCAACCCAACCCTAATAATATTTATACCCACCTCGCCTTCGCCTCCCTCAAAACCCTATCGCCTCCACCGCCTCAACCCGGACGCAGCAGCCGCAGCGGAAGAGGGAAGCGAAGCAAGCGAAGCTCGAGGGGAGATGGCGCGCGGCGTGGCGGCGGCGGCGGGGGGCAAGGGCGGCGCCGGGAAGAAGAAGGGCTCCGTCACCTTCGTCATCGACTGCGCCAAGCCCGTCGACGACAAGATCATGGAGATCGCGTCGCTCGAGAAGTTCCTGCAGGAGCGCATCAAGGTCGCCGGAGGCAAGGCCGGCAACCTCGGCGAGTCCGTCACCGTCTCCCGCGACAAGACCAAGGTCACCGTCACCTCCGACGGGCCCTTCTCCAAGAGGTATAACCACCTCCCCAAACTCCTCCTTGCCCCCCCCCCCCCCCCCGATGCCCAGATCTATGCTTGTTGCTTCATGTAGTTTGTAGTTAATCTGTTATATCATTGACGTGTCTAGAGCAGATGAAAGCATATTGGTCCGTTGCGTTTGATACGAATTTTAGCGAGATTCGATGTCAACTGGTAATGTTTTTGGCTGTGCAATTAGGCATTTTGTCCCACTTAGTCTTATATAAGCATCGAGTTCTCTGTAGGCTGCAGTGAGCAAATCATTTAGTGGATATGCTGAAATGAATACTGGTTTGTGTTGCAGAGTAGTGTAGTGTCTGAATGATACACACTGCTAGAGCATATAAAAGATCTTTGTGCCATATTGGTTGTTTTCTACTTCTCTATAGTTTATGCCTAATGGAATTAGGCTACTTAACTACCATAAAACTAATGGTACCTTCGTCTCCTGTGCATTTGTTACCTTTTCTGTACAGGATAATCCTGCAATGCAGATTGTGTGCCACTAAAATGTTTTCTGATGTATATTGTGTACTTACCATATCATTTTGGCCGACATTTTTGTTTGCTCATTTTGCTATGCCTTGTTCAATTCTTGTCATGTCTGCTTAACTACCTCTGTTTGTATTGAACACTAGACTAGAGTGTTTCGCAATGTTCTACTTATACTTGAGGATCTGATGCTCTATCCCCTGTGAAATGCTTCTATACTTGAATCAAAATATTTATTTGATTATTTTGTTTGACCCATATATCGTTTATTGTTTCCTCAGGTACCTGAAGTACTTGACCAAGAAGTACCTGAAGAAGCACAATGTGCGTGACTGGCTACGGGTGATTGCATCCAACAAGGACCGCAACGTGTACGAGCTCCGGTACTTCAACATCGCCGAGAACGAGGGCGAGGAGGAGGATTAGATGCACTGCCTTTTTCTATGTCTTGTGAACTTTTGAACTTGCTGGAACACTATGCTGTAGTCACTGAAGAGAAGAATTTTGATGTTTCATTTATCAATGTTTCCCTGTGTGCTTAAAACCTATGCTTAGGTAAGCAAGTTGAAGAATTATTGGTTCTCACCTTTGCAGTTGAGCAGTGTGCATTTTTAAAGTTTTAACTGGAACCTGATGGAGCTGTTAGTGCTGTTGGTTCATCAGCTGATACTGAATCGAGCACATCAGCTTTTACTATGGCCAATATCACTCGGAATAAATCCGATTCATTATTGTGTTATGTTGAGTCGGACATTAGCCTTGTTGCATAGTATCTCTTTGGAAACGATGCTCGATCGGCTGGTAATTGATCATATTTATTATTTAAACTACTCAGTATGTGCATTAATACGACGTATAAAGAATTGTGAAAAAACAGCATTTAAAAATAGCCAAAAACGGGGGCATTGCCATTAGCATGCCTTCGATAGGGTTCATGCGGGTACGCGAGTGATGGAAGCTTGTCAATAATTTGAACGCACGACAGCCGTTCATCAATGAAGCTAGACGTGACAGTTACTCAGCTCAACAGAAAGCTGATTGAATTGTGGTAACATCAGTGCCTCGTCTCCTCAATGCAATGTTACAACTAAAATGATGGCAGAGAATATCGACACTCATGAACAAAACTGAACCAAGCACTTGATTGGGTCACAGTGCCCTTGAATTGTCTTTGCAGGAATGTCGACAGATACAAAAGGATCTCTTCTGAGATCAAATTAGTCCAAAATGCAGGAACAGCTTACTCAGGACATCTTCACTAGTTACATTTATTGCGGAAAAAACACACCATCAGATATCTGCATAATTTGGCCAAAACAGAAGGTGGGGGGAAAATGGCAGACGCCTCTCAGATTGACTATCTAGTTTATGCAAGCGCTGGGGTAGGGGTGCAACCAGTGGCAGGAGCAACTTCAGAGGTCTTCTGTGCAGAACTGTACTTCTTTGTGATGAACCTAAAGATATTTACATTCGTTAGTTAGAATTCAGCAGTTATTATTTCCTTCATATAATGCAGTGGTTATAATGCCTAGAATCTTGATAGTCCATTCAGTAAAATTTTACAGGGCAAACATAAATTCTATGAATTGTGTACTGTATTTCAGATTTTTCTACTTGGTAAAAGGAACAGAACTTCATATTATACAAGACACAATTCATTGGATTACATGGGACTATGGGAATCTCATAAGCAATACATACCTGAAGAAATCTCTCCATAGCAATTCGAACATTAACCAATTTGTACCAGCATCAGATGTGCCATCACCATTCTTGGGTGTTGATCCCGATGGAATTGCTCTGTAATGAGGGAGAAATTGCCAATTACGTACAAAAGCGGAAAGAGTAACGCAGTCATGTATTGTAGTATATTGTCTTCCCTCCCTATGCTGTTCAGAAATATCCTGTACCTTGAAGCATGCTTCTTCAACTCCTCATACATGAAGCGCGGTGAGAGGCAACCTGTAGCAAGCCATGGTGAAATTTTGCAGGAGAAATTAGCACCATATATGCTATCTCGAGTGCTGTCCTTGTCCCCTTTGTTTGGCTGCATACAACATTCTGAAGCAAACTTCTTCAACCTCTCCAGAGCTTCAGCTTCACCACCAATGAGAGTAGAACCAACAGCAGCTTTTGAGCCCTAAATTAACAGATTGCTTTTCTAAGTTAGCATGCATAATACATTAGATAGTGTATAATGGAACACAATGCTGTATCAAAAGGGAATAGAAAGTTACGAAATCAATCCACATGCCATTAATGAAAATGAGAAAAATAATGTGTCTTGATGATTTTCTTTGACAGGTCATGAATCTTAGATCAAAGTAGTTCGTATTAGGTAGATGCAGATATTGACTAGCCTAAAAAATAGTAAATGAAACAAAAGATTCTCTCCCATATAATTTTCAAGTATATGATCATCTATTTTTAATACTAATACAGACTTTTCTGCATTCCAACCCCCACTCTTCTTTAAGGTTTGTAGACTTTTGTAAAAGTGATATGCTAAAACAAGGCCCAAAAAATATAATCCTGCTGATTAAGAATACACCATACAAAGGTCTAATATGTAGAAATTAGAAAATCAACTTAAAGCATCTGATTATTCAAATTAAATGATCCAATCATTTGATATAGTAGTCCACATCTACAAAACTTTTTTAAAAAATCAGCCACATGTCACTGTCAAGATCCCATGCAAACAACTCACAAGGGGCTAAGTTACAGGTTTAAGATGTCCATAACTCAGTTTGACATCACATGGACAAGGCGTAAGTAATTGGATTATGTGACTAGTTTCAAATGTTCCAAAATGTTTAGACATGCCAAGAAGGTGAGACAAAACCATCTAGCGCATATTGATAATAATAACCAATCGGACATTCGGATTGCAGAACAAGTCGACACTACATATTTGCTGACTACATATTGTCGTTTAGTACAATCGGGCGGTTTATTTTTAACTATTACGCTACTACGAATTAAAGGTTTCCATATCCGTTTTGTACCCTACTGCTCATATCATATCATTTCACAAATGCACAAAGAAGTGAGTGTGTAGGTAAGCCAATCAGCACAAGCACTGCTGTAATCACACTCTATATTCACGAATAGAGGTATAATACCTACCTAGCGTGAAGTTAAACCAAATTAACACCTATATTCACGAGAATTCACAACCTAGCATAAACCAAACGGGGTTAAGAATGGTATCCATCAAAACAATGGACTATCTATATTTGGCTACTCTCATTTGCTTCAACTTGTAAAATTTGCTGAAAGAGTAAGTGCTGAGTTAAATGTCATGGAGTACTAACAGCTTGCTAAATTTGGCTAATCACTGAAATATTAAACACTAGAACGAGTAGAAAAATTATATCCCTTGAGAGACTCACATGTGCCATGGCCGGTGGCGCGGTGAGGCCGAGCTCGGCAAGCGTGGGGATCTCACCGGGCTCAAGCACATTCTTCATGGGAACACACTTGACCTCCTCCGGCGCGTCGAGAACCTTCCTGACATCCAACCCCTTCACAGCCTCCCTGAATCCACCGTAGTTGGACGGCATGTCCTCGAGGCGGAAGGGCAGGTCATCCAGGTGGTACAGCGTGCTGCCCCAGAAGTACTTGACCTCGATTCCCTCCTTCTCAACGGCCTTGCTCACCTTCTCCTCGGCGCGGCACTCGTCGCGCGACACCTCGCCGTGCGCGAACACGGCCTCCGCACCGGCGGCGCGCGCGAGCTCGGGGATCACCACCTCGGGCCTCCCCACGCGCACCACCAGGTCGCCGCCGCGCGCGCGGAGGCCCCGGCGCAGGTCGGCGACGGAGTCCAGCAGGAAGCCTGCGCGGTAGGGCCCCGTGCGGTCGAAGCCCGAGGGGGACTTGCCGAAGTCGCGCGGGTCGAAGACGAAGACCGGGAGCAGCGACGACGACGCCCCGACGGCGGCGTGGAGGGGCTCGTGGTCGTGGAGGCGGAGGTCGGCGCGGAACCACACGAGCGTGCGGCGCCGCCCGGCCGCCGCGGGCGCGCCCGAAGGGAAGGAGCGGGAGAGGCCCGGCGTGGAGGCCGGGAGCGGGGCGAGGAGCGACGACGCGGCGGCGGCGGCGTTGAGGCGGCGGCGGGAGGAGGGTGACGCGGAGGCGGAGGCGGAGGGGTGGAGGCAGACGGCGAGCGTGGAGATTTGGGTGGGGAGGTGGATGGTGGAAGGGACGGAGGCGAGCGCCGCCGGGGAGGGGGAGGCGGGGGTGCGGAGGGAGAGGGAGAGCGAGAAGGAGGCGAATGCGGGGAGGGTGGGGTCGTCGTGGTGGCGAGCGGCGGCGGCGGCGGGGGAGTCGGAGTCGGAGGCGGCGGCGGCCATGGGTGGCGGTTGGTGGGAGTGATGGTGATGAGATTTGGTTGGGGATGAGGAGTGTGAGAGGGGGAGGGGAGTGGGTGGGGTGGAGAGAGAGGGGAAGGTGGTGGAAAATTGGAAAATTTTTGGACCACCTACCATTCAGTAGAGATTTCTCCTGTTTTTGTCAATTGTCACCAACCATTTTGGTGATTTGTGGTTTGTAAAATATATATATATTTTTTCTCCAAATAGTATTGTACTTCACAAAAATCACCTGGAGCCCTATCGTTTCCTCTTCATTATCAAACAATGCGAAAATTTAAATTTTAAATCTTGATTTTGAAGTTTTGTTTAGCATTGACGTTTAAGTTGCTAGAAACATATATACATATATGTTTTACCTATAAATTATTATTATTTTGCTAATACGTCATATGACATATTATTTGTATTTGGCCAAACGATGGTGGCCCTTGATTTTGTGGTTTTGTGGTAGTAGGATTTTGAATCCAGTGTTTTTTTTTAAAAAAAATATTTTTGGGAAGAGGAGGGAGATGGCAGATGACGTCATGACATGAATATTTTTGTTTCATTGGTTGAAACTTCAATCTGACATGCTACTGTGAATTATCATGTTCTTTTCAGAACATGAATGCAACCAAGTTCCTTATGCTTATACTCTACATCACAGAGTGTAATTTAGTTATCATTTTAAGTATATTGCTTTTATGGACAGAAGGATTGTAAAATGGAAGCATAATTTAAGCGGAATTAAAAGCGCATCACTGCAAATTCAGCAATATGAAAAAATCTCAATGACATATATAATCAACCATTTCCTTTCACTACCCTGCGTCCCTGCGCAGAGATTTTGTCCCCTACTCCGAGGTAATAAACGGTGATGTATCATCATATCATGGACATACTTAATCATTCTTATTTACAATGAATCATTGTCCAAATGATACTATTTCTCCTTTATTCACGGTGGTTTCTGAGCGTCGTTTTCTTTCATTTTTTTTTTGTTGTTTCCGAGCGTCGTCTTCTTTCATTTTTTTTTTGTTGTTTCCGAGCGTCGTCTTCTTTCATTTTTATTTTTCCTATTAATACCGAGTAAAATGCTTCGTTTCCAATTCAACACTCGTGCCAAATCTTCCAATACAATTTGGAAACATTTCTCTTACTAAAAGAAAACTGGAAACATTTTTTTTCATGTAAGGTTCATCCCTAATTAGCACTTGGTCGGACATCATGCCATCATTTCAATTCAGAGACGCGATAGTTGCTTTCCTAGGAGCAGAAAAATGCAGCCCGGACAACACTTGCCGGGAGTTACAAAATTTATGAGTACAGAGTACTCTACTTCATATCTGCGCCAAAACAGAACAAATTAGAGTTAGAGTGACTCTCCGTGTAGCAAAATTTCACTGCTGCACTACAGCAACATACATACTTTCCACGCGCCACAAATCGCATACTTTCCATGAGCCATACAAACCTCTCATTTTGATGAGAATACCTATACACTTCCAGGTGTTTGTTTCAAACTCGCCGCGACGAAAATCAGCTCGGTTATGTTTGTGTCTCCTCCCTCTTCTTTTAGGTGCTATGTTCTCACCTTTTACATCATCAAACTAATGAACGATTATACGTTGGAAGTATTGCCAGGTCCCATCACTTCCTCTTATTTGAAGCTATCGCCTTTGCTTGCTTCGCAGAGGTTCTCTTTGCTTTGGGGTTTGGAACAGCTCTCTGGATGACCCTTTTCGGTTCATCAGGCTTCTCATGGGGATCAACCTCTTCATATTGTATTGGCTTGATAACAACTCCAGGCTTCTTAACAATCTGAAAGATGTAATATATAGCAGTAAGAAGAAGTATATATATAGATCGAGGGGCATTGTATAGGTTTACGACGACTAAAGCCACCGTTTGACTAAATAATCAGGCCTGGAGGGCAGGAGATGTCCAGCAGGTTTTTTTTGTAAGATATAATGTTTAAGATCCCGAAGTAAAAGTTTTACCAGCATTTATCATTGCTATTCATAATGTTCAAGTGTCTGACAAGTAAAAAAACACCTAAATGAGCTGCAGTATGACATACATAAAATGGAATCTCACTGTACTCGCTGTCAAATTTATAGAATGGTCCAACTGGCCAACGCAAAGTCGCAAAGCAAGAATAATAACTTCAAATCTAGGTTTTTTTTTTGATGAATCACCAATTTGATTTCAACTACAAGTTCAATGCATCAGCTAGTTATACGGTACTCACCGCAGGTCGATTGAGAGCAGCAACTGATATCGCTGGATTGAAATCAGGTCCAATAGGCATACGGATACTCTGCTCATATACATCCTTTGAAGTGTAAGGAAAAGGCAGATTCCTCACTAAAAGCTTTTCAGCCTGCAAAGAGAGGGGGTGGTCAGATTTACTGCTCACATTAATAGTGCAAGTGACATCAGTAAAACAGGCGTGCAGCACAATGGAACATCACACCAGAGAGAAGTTTGCTAAATTGCTACAGAATTGAACAGGAAAACGGTGTTGTTTACTGCAGCTCTATAATAATTCAAACACTTTACCTTCTTGTCAACATGTTCAGAAATGATAACATGCTTGAGCTTAGCATCCTTCCTCCTCTTCAAGGCTTCTTCCCTCTTCCTTTTCGCATTTTCATGTTCTTTCACCATCCAAGAAGGAAGTCCTTTTTTCTGTTGAATGTCAGTCCACTGTCCCCAACCAGGAACAAGAGCAGGTTTTTCAGGTTCAGGATTCTCTTCATTTAAAACATCCAGTTTGTCCTTCTCAAATTCAGCCTCAACATCATCACCAGCAAAAGCCTGGCGTATAAGATCAGCTTGCGACGGAATTTTATAATTTTCCTTTGCATCGGAGATGGTCAATAAACCCTCAACCATCTCATCCTCCGAATCTGAATCAGAATTGTGATCCAATTGCTACAAGAAGAAAAACAGAAAAAAAAGATAAATGAGTAAGATTTATAGACTGAATGTACAAATAAGAATACAAACCAGTTAGAGCAGACCTTAAGCTTTTGGTCTGCCATATAAGAAACCTTCACTGTGGATTTATCTATATCACCATTGGTATTGCTCCCATCATTTCCTTTGCTACTCTTGAACTGATGGAGAACGAGAGATTAAACAGATGAAAAATAAAATATAGCAACTAATCAAAGAACTGCCAGCACGAGTTACCTTCTTCCATGAATTATCAGCTAACATTCCAACTTCAACAGTTGTTTTGCGGCCAGGATTTTTTATAATATCATCGAAGCTCTACAGAAAGTAGATCGCATTCAGGTTCTGCAAAAATTATATGATACAATAACAAGTTGCTTAGAATTCTTACTTTGAACAGATCATCCTGTGGTTCATCATCATCCAGGAGTGCAGTCCCAATTTGCACATCATCTATCTTATGTACTTCATTGTCATCCAGATGTTGAGCAGAGTCAGACTCATATTCGCTATCACTGTTCTTGTCGCCGTCATCTAATTTTTGCTTCTTATTTGTCACTTTGTTTGTATCTTCGGCAGGTCCAAAAGTTCTTTTACCAGTAACCTTCACTGAATCTCCATTCTCTTCAGTGTTACCATCCTCCAATTTCCTCAATGATTCATCACACTCTTCTAGAGCTAGCCGTGCTTCCTCATAAGTTGCTTCCTCATGCTTCTTCATAGCGCGCTCCTGTAGACAAGCAGCTAATGTCAGTATCAATTAAAAATGCAGTGATTTCAGCAATGTTAGCAAATAATTTTACTAAACAAATGCACGAAGAGAATGGCAACAAAAGCGCACCATGAAAGGCAACGAAAAGACTCCAGATGTTGGTATCTCATTATCATCCCCAAGAATTTTAAGAATCTTTTCTTTTCCTTTGTTCAGAATGTTTGCTTCTGATTCATCGTCATCTTCCTCATCATCAGAACTTTCCTCACTACTACTAGAATCGTCTTTTGTGGAATTCATTTTTCTAGTAAGAAGAGCATTTTGTTGGAGTTGTGCTGCAATAGCAGCACGAGTGCCTTCATCTTGAACATCCAATCCACGCTTCAAGATTCGCTTAGCCCATTTGGAAGTATTCTTGTGCTTTAATCTCATTCGTTCCTGCAAATAAGTTGGTCAGTCTAATAGGAACACATATGAAACAAGCTTGAAAAATGAGAAATAAACTAGAAAATAACTAACCTCTGCACGTTTAAATTCCTGTTTCATAGCATGCTCTTTGGCAGCTTCCGGATCTGCCTCAAAGTCTGCTGATGCTGCCTTCAGTTTATCCTTTTTCAACATCCGGTGATAAGTCCTGGACTTGATCTTCTTTATCCGTTTTGCTTTCATCTCATGACGGAACAGAAGGCTGCGCATTTTAGCAAGTCGATTTTGACGTTCTCTCACATCTTCCATGTCAATCTACATGAGATTATGAACCTATTAAGCAAATCGTTCACAGAAGTCTGAAAATTACAATATAATCACTTGCTTAGCAAGAGCAATGCCCTCAAGCTTGAATTACACACTACAATCAGTCAACATGCACGGTCAGCGAAACCAACTAAAACTGCATGCTAAATTCAATTGAACTAACGGATCGAAAGAATATAAGAAAGTCACCTTGTTAAGTTCCAGTATTTTAACACCATCGTTCTTGTGTGCTTCCATCATTTCTGTGCTACGCATAATCTCAGCCATCTGCTTCTCAAATTCATTTCTTGGTTTAAATTCACTAGCTATTGCCCCAACTGTGTTAACCCCTAAGTTGAGATCATTTTCAAAGTAGAGTGTGGGTGCCTCACGGTTCCTCTTAACTAATGGCTCCCACTTGGTGACCTCCTTCTTGGATTGCTGGTATACCACACCACGCTCGAGCTTCTCTCTCTCCACTTTTGCAAGTGGGGCCTGCACGACTATTGGCTTTTTCTCCTGCTGTTGCAGCCTCTTTCGGAGCTTGCTATACCCAGGCTTACCCTGAATATTATTCAAGAGATCATGAATTGTGACTGGACCATCTCCAACTCCAGGCTGAAACGGCAGCTCCAATGGCTGTTTCTTCCTCTTACCCCCTACAAGAATTTAGAAAAGAGGTATTTGAACTAAGAATGACACGGGTCAACTGGATTTGTTGTTAACTTTTAAATTTCTGACATTTACAAATAATCGGCATTTCTCGCAGTTTATTTTCAAAAGACCAACCAGGACTAGGCAATCAATGTTCAGGATGTTGAACTATTAATTATACACAGAAGCAACCTTGTTAGGCAATTCAACATTCCTTACCAAAGACTGAACTTTTCTGCTATGAGTTTAAAAAATCTCACATCCAACTGTTTGATAGGCGCCAAAGACAAAAAGAAATGTTACCATCAAACGCTTCCCTAGGCATGCCAGTCGTCTCCTGAAGTATTCTTATCTGCTTCTCCTCATCTTCATCCTCGCCGGCATCATCTTCCTCCATATCCTCACCTTCATCTGATGGCACGTCTTCATCCTAAAAATGCAAACAAAACAAGTTACTGCAAAGACTTGCAGCTTGGCAGCGCCATGATTCCTAGTGTGGATGTAATTTCACGCCACCTTCAACCCAAGAATACCTCTCCCATCAATCGACTCGCAACAAGCTTCTCTCAAACCAAATTACTCTCGAAGCTCGCGGTTTATGCCGCATCCTACATCGAAACCGCCATGCCGAGAGGAGAGGAGAGGAGAGGAGAGGGAGTGGCGCGTTACCGCATTGGAGGCGTCGCTGTCGAACTCGTACTCGTACTTCTCGACGGCGTCGTAGCGGCCGTTCTTCCCGGCCTCCTCCTCGGGGACCCCTTCCTCGTACTCGTACACGTCGTGTGCCCCCTCGTCGTCGGACCCGGCCTCCTCGTCCTCGTCGGAACCCCTCGAGGTGCCGGGCCCCAGCGCGTCGAGCTGCCGGCGCAGCGCCGTGGGGAGGCGCGGGCCATGGCGGCCGCCGCGCCTGTCCCCGCGCTTCCCCGCCCCGCCCGTCACGCCCTTCTTCTCCTTCCCCCCGTGAGCTGCCCCGGCAACCAGAGCCCTGGATTTCGGCTTCCCTCTGGGCTTCGTCCCAGCCATGGCGACGGCGAAGCTGCTCTCTCTCTCCCTCGGCGGTGGATCGGTCGAGCACGTCGGCGGCGGCGGCGCGAAGAGGGTTTTGGGGGTGGGAAGTCGCTCAGCCGCAGCGTCGACGCCGGGTTCAGGTTAAGCGAGATTAATTGGGCTGGGCTTCAGGCTAAGGACGGAAGGGCCCGGAACCCTGGGTACGGCCCATTTGTGATTTCGAAATGTTTCGGAAATAAGTCTATTTAACCTACCTCATTCTCTTAGCTCCTGATTGAATCGCCTCCCTCAACCACAACCACAAAACTAGATATAGCGTCTCCCTCATATTTGAATACCGATGTAAATCACCTACTTCGCTGGTTTGGGAAGCGGTTTTCTACTAACGAGGTAAGTACTAAGTAGGACCCATATATTAGTGACTTCCACCTCATCTCATCATCTTATCTACCACTCTCCTCCCAATCTTTCCTCTCTCCCTTCTTCCCCCCATCTCACCTTTCAGCCACCGCAGTCGTCTCTGCGGCCTCCTTTCCCTTGTCGTCGCCTGCTGCTGCTGCTTCGGGACATCCGCCGCAGCCTCTCCCTTGTCGATGCAATTGTTGTTGTTGCTACTGCTTCGAAGACGCCGCTGCAACCTCCTCTCCTCCCACGTCGTTGCTTGTTGTTGCTGCTTCAGGGAAGTTGGGAGCGGCGGATGAGGCATAGGCAGCCATGGAAGGGTCGGGTTAGGGTTAGCCATGTCATCGCCATTTCTATCGTACGTATGGCGTTCACATCCATCCCCAAACGCGATGTAGTGGCGTGGACTGCTCTCATCAGCGCATATGCCAACGTTGAGGAGTTGGATGAGGGCCTTCGAGCTGTTCGAATTGATGCAAGAGAGTAGTGTTTGGTCGGATGTGATTTTGCACGCTGGTTTTAGGTTTTGCAAGTAATAGTGACCTTTGAGCTACGCTGCACCTATCTGAAGAAATAATGTTAATTGGGGGAACGATAAAAGGAATTGTCACGTGGTACCCGCCGCATATGTTTGGCCATATCTCACTGACATGTGGGCCCACCTGCAAAAACGCTTCCCAAACTACCGAAGTAGTCGATTTGCACCTTTTTCAAAAATAGAGGATGTGTTATACCTGGTTTTATGGTAGAGGGAGACGATTAGATCAAACTTTAGAATATGAGGGATGAGAAATAGACTTATTTCCAACTACTTTTGCACTGTGAAAAACGGTATTGGCTTTGGATATTATGTGTCTTTCAAGGCCTATCTGTCTCGACTATAGCACTTTAATTTTTGGACCACCAATATATTTGTTGATATTTTCTGTCAGCTGCGGGAAAATAAGAAACCATCATGCCTGCCATTAGCAAAAAAACAAAACCCACAATCGCGTACCTTTGAATAACATATTCGTTAGCTTGCAGGATGCTAAAGATATGTTGAGTAACGTGCAAACACACTGAATCAGCATATTAGAGGATAACAGAGCATACAAATTCTCTCTAAAACATCATAGGACCATGCAATGTTTAAGGATAGGGTTAATTTGATTCATGCCATTGCAAATATGGCATATTAGAAAAATGTCATTATAATTCACGTTATTGGTTGGATGCCACTGAAAATTTTTAAAATTGGAAACATGCCACTCCCGTCACTGTTCGGTCCTCCTTCCTCACGTCATCACTATTATCGTCAGTCTGTTACGCGCACGCGCAGGGAGAAGGCAAGCTAGCGCCGGCGCCGGCGATCAGCGAGAGGACGAGGTGGAGGACCTAGGAGACCTAGACGCCGTCGCCACCGCCGAGGTCGATCTTCTCAGTACCGCGGAACTTCCAACGCAGGCGACGGATGTGGAGCACGCGCTTGCCGTCGACGGTGACCGACATCGGGGCCAGGAGATAAGGACAGTATCGAGGCTGGGGCCGCGCCGCGCGCTTCGTCTTCCTGTACGCCTCCTCCGCCATGTTGTTCGCATTGAGCACCATCTCACCGTCGACCACGACCGCGACGAAGTACCCCGACGACGGCTCCGGCGAGCTGGCGCATGCGAACCGCGCGCGCATGAGGTCCCACGCCAAATCGACCTGCCGATCCTGCACGTGAAACCGCTTCGACCCACGCCGCCACCACAGCAGCCATGGCCAAACCCTGTAGGATCGAGATGTCGACTAGAGGGGGGTGTATAGGCGATTTAAAACTAAATGACACCTAATCAAAACTAACCTAAGTTGCTAGGCTTGGTGAGGGTGAACTCTAACTAAGCAACTAAGTTATATTTTGCAAACCTAGGGTGATAGTGGCTCAATTATATCTCTAGGAAAGTAAATCGCACTCCTATATCAATGTTTAGCAATCCTAGGGTGATATGATCTCAAGTATGTCTCTAGAAATGTAAATTGCACAAATGTAAATGCAACAATCAAATGAGACAAGGAGACAAGAGATTTTTCACCGAAGTTCGGAAACTCGTCGGTTTCCTACTCCCCGTTGAGGCGAGCCCAACTCCACCGCTCAACTACGAAGCCACCGCACGCCCCCTTCGTCAAGGGGTGGGCAAGGCGGGAGCCGGCCCACGGAGAGGACTACCCAAGCCTCGATCACTAGGGTAGTTCTTCCTTCACTCCGAAGGTGGTGAACTCCAAACCACTCACAAACCGGCGCCGGGCCTCCTCCACAATCTTCTTGGAGAGGTCACCGGGCAACTCCTCCACAAGCCGTCTAGAAGGCAGCAACCTACAAGAGTAACAAGCAATGACCCGGCGTGGAGATGATCAATCAAGTGCCACACTAGCTCTACAAATGGAAGCAATGCACTTGACTCTTGGCTAATTAACCCTCTAACACACTAGACGGATGAACACAAAGCTCAAGCAGGTGTGAGAGAGGTGCAAGGGGTGTATGCAATTGAATTGGGTGCCAAGAGAGTCCCCTTGCTGCTGGTGGGGGAGTATTTATAATCCCACCCACCAAAACTAGCCGTTGGGGGCAAAATCCCCCAATCATTGTGCTCTGCTGGTCTGACCGGAGGTATGTGGCCGGTCAGACCGTGCTACTCTGCAACGGCTAGAAAACTAGCCGTTGTAGTGCTGTCAGAGGGCCCCATCGGCCCGGCCGGACAGACCGGCGTTGAGTGGGCGGTCAGACTGGCCTCGGCTCGGTCTGACCGAATACGGCTTCGTCGGCTCTGTATCGGCCACCCCGAGTAGCACCATCCCGGCCTCCAGGGGGCCGGTCTGACCGCGCATGTGCTGCTTGTCAGACCGGCCTTATGGGCCGGTCAGACCACCGTTGTGAGGCCGGTTAGACCGGCCAGGGCACGCCGGTCAGACCGCCCCTGGTCAGGCCGAGCTCAGTGAAAACAAAGGTGAGTGTGTGTGTGTGATGAAAATGTGAGCACAAGTGAAAATGCAATGACCTAATGTGGCAATTTAATCATCTCTTTGCTAGGTCATTACCCCTTTTAATAGTACGACAAAACTAGAAAATAAACTAGCAAATTTGATCGCCCTACACCTCGATCAATTCTAAATTAAAGCATTAGTTTTACCGTCTTCTTTCTCTTTGCTTTGTGCCGTCAATTTTAATCCATCGATAGTCATCCATGCGCACACATGACGTGGACCTAACTTAAAATATTATCTTAATAGCAACGGTTAGTCCACAATTAGCGCTTGTTATTAATTACCAAAATTAACAACGGGGGCCTAGATGCTTCAATCTCTCCTTTTTTGGTAATTGATGACAAACACCACAAATATATATATAATCAAACATAGAACACATGGACATATATTGCAATGGCAATCAAAAGCTCCCCCTAAACATGTGCATATCAATCATAGACAATAAATATGGAGCCAATGCACATTTCAATATCACATTCCAACAAGCACAAAACACATTAGCAATATATCAATGTGAACTTCAATCCATAGGCATAAGATGGTCACATATATCAATATCACATACACCATCCATCATCGCACAAGTTCACATCTTAACCATCCAAAACACATAAGTCACAAATCATCCTAAAAGGGCTCACAAATAAACATAGGCTATTACAAGACCACGAGGGGTCCAAATGACATAGAGTTTAACAAAACGACAAAGAACACACAATATAGAGTAATAGCCCATACCCATACAAAATATAGCCCAAACCACCTTAACCTATTAGATATGAGGGCACTATCCTCACTACTACTAGTCCCAACCCACAAAAGATAGAGCACACTTTTCTCCCCCTTTTGGCATCAAGCACCAAAAAGGTCTTCACTCTTGTGGAGGAGAAGGAAGACGCACCGAAGTGGAAGGATGAGAAGCATCACGACGACGATGATACGCAAATGCTTGGGAGCTCTCCAACATTTGGACTCGAGAATCCAATGTACCCACTCTAGTGTGCAATCTCCCCACGGAAGCATTCAAGTCTCCAACATCAGTGCGCAAGCCACGAAAATCCTCATGTAATGCTTCATGCCCGGTAGACAAGCGTTGAATGCTTTCACTTAGGGTGTTAATAGCCCCAAGTACCGGGTTGAACTATTCGTTGGGTTGCATTCCAAAATAAGCATACTGTGGATGGAAGAAAGCATTTGGATCATACCCAGGAGGAGGAGGAGGTGCTGAGCTTGAGCTAGCTCCAGGATGAGAGGAGGGTGCCGCCCTAGGAGCACGGGGAGCTCCAAGCTGAAGGCGGGGCTTGTACTGCTTGAGCTTCTTCAAATTTTGCCCAGCAGCCCCAAGCTTGTCTTGAATCAACCTCATGACGTAAGGGGCATAATAGATTCCCTGAGTGAAGGTCCCCTTGGAGATGGCAGTCTCTTGCATCATAAGAGACACAATGTCGAACTGACGGCCCTGAATGATTTCATCGATGACGTGCCAAGCCACCCCGCTAATGTCATCATTGTTGCCAAGGCGAGGGAGGATGGTAGCTCTCACAATCCTATTAACCACACTAGGGATGGTCCTCAAGCCGGCAACCTTCCCATGTGTGTACCGCACTCCATCTTCATAAAACTGAGAGAGGTAGTCTATGGAGAGCGGATTGTGAGTGTGCTCCTCATGCAAGTCATCTCCAAAGTCCAAGCGAATATTGAGGAGCCGCCGGA